CAGATTTCCAATTTTAATTAGAGACAAAACTACGAAGCAATAATTGTAACATGGTAGAAAAATGAATAGAAATATACGCGGTAACAGCAGGGGGTTTACGAATAGTAAAATGGGAAAGTTTGAGGAAACCTGACGTCCTTCGAGATCCTTGTTAGGCAAACATGATCGCCCGTAATTTCGCGCTGCAAAAACTAACACCCGTTGGAATAGCAAACGAGACTAAATACCTACTGCCAGCAACGAAGGCAAGATTTTAACTGACTTGTAAGCGATAAAAAATATATGTATATCTAGTTTACACTGGTTGACGTAAATACATACATATAAAATGGCGACGAGGGAGCTTGGACGACGCATAAACATTGTAATTATGAATTATTAATAAATTTGATGTAGGTATTAAAAATTGTTGCTTACATGAAATGATACACGCGTTCTTCGCCAATGGGTCATGGAAAATGGCATTCATAAATGGAACTTTACCAATAAGTTTGGTATTGATGTTAGCAATGACCTTGCCGCTCGAAGAGGATCAGAAAGAGAGGGAAAAGGATGTGGATGACGTTCAACATATCGGTTTTGCTGTCACCAATTTCCGGCTCCGTTCGATGGGATATATCGGACAAACCGATCGTACAAGTACCGTTTTGTATACAAACCAATTCATTCATTGAAAATGCATTCATTCGGCCAATCTTCCTACGGGTACAGATTTACTATCAGCTGACCAGCTTTTCTTCTTTTTTCTTGTTTTAACTTACTGTTACTGGTTGCCAAGCATGTCAAGGAATTCCTGTTACGTTTACCAATAAATACACGTGTTGGTACAATTATGGATGTAATATTCTAAGTCTACCAAAGAGACAGATATGTGTATTTGGAGATAAAGAAGATAAACGAGATAAAGTACATAGCCAAGACAATGCGAAGCTTAATTTTGTGTCTATGACATAAAAGTATCAGAAAATAGCACTTATGCTATATCAATTTGAATATTCTTAATAAAAATTAACTAATTCTTCGACGAAATGAACAACGAATGGAAAGACACTGGAAACAGAACAGAATGAGATAAAGATAATCACCCACGGATCCATTTGAAATTCACTGATCAATTGACGGATCAAGATTTGAAAAATAAAACAGGCGATCCAAAGTATAGTTCATAAGCAAGTATAACGAGAGCTTGTTACAACATAGTGGAAAGCGATACAAACGGAAATGTATCTGAGACGATCCTGACTTCGATTTGTTAAGGCGATCGGTAAAAAACGAAAGCATCAATCCGAGGTTTATATCTCACGAAACGACGCTTTACATTTCTCCATAGAATCGTTCCTCCTATTCAAACGAAAGATAAATCCAGCAATACCTCAGGGAAAATGAAACACTGACGACGAGAAAACCTTTGGCAAAGGAAACAATAGTTTCGCGCGTTTTCTTTTATCCCCCTTTTTCTTTCTTCTTAAACTCGATAATTGAAGTTTACAGCGTTAAAATGTTGACGTGCGTCGTCTTTTTATTCGTACGAAGAAAGAAGATTCTTTGTTAACAAATTACATAACTGGGTTATACTGAAAGTTTTCTTAAGAAATAAAGAAGATTCTGAATAATGAAATATTCGTCTTTAAAAGTTGTTTGAAAATTCAAAGAATAATATACTTAAATTAAATGAAATATGTTGATATTAATAAAGGTAAAGACAATTAAATGTTCTCAAGAAGAAATCCTTTAGACTTTTGCTGACGACATATTTCAAACAATTTCGCGTTAAAAAGAAGAAGGAAAAAAAAAACGGTAATTGTACAATATATATTGTGAACAGTTTAATTATCACCATATGGTGTACCATATGGTAACACATGGACCGTAAACTCAATAAGTCGGAGCATCCTCTGCTATTGAACATAAATTACCATAAATTATTCTTTTCCACATCTTCAACATCCCCAAATAATCCAGAATACGAGTACCGTATAATTTAATAATTAAATGACAATTGACTAACAGTAAACAACTACATACATAGAAACAGATAGATATAAAAGGTAAAGTTTCGTTTTACTTTTCCAAACACTCGACGCTGTTAACTATCTTTTCAAACGTTGGGTTATAAAAAGCCAGGCAGGAAAACAAGCACGGAAAATGTCACGGCCTTGTCTTCCAGCTTTCAATACGTGTATGTATATATCGGCAGTGATGTGTATAAATACATAAATACGCAGGGTTAAACAATTTCCCTGGCACGCGTTTCAATATTTTTTCGATCAATATCATAAATTTCTTTTGCAAACTTTACCCCTTTGGTTCCAAGTGTCTCAAATTTAGAATGTTTGGAAATAGTTGAGAAATATACCATGTTTCCTAGATACCTCGTGAGCGGTATTCTAAATTATTCAAGTACCCAATAAACTTTCATTGTTATCTCGATACCGAACAAATCAAGTCTCTCCCCCTTACATTATCTCTCTCCAGTTTTCTTAATCACAAACGACTATAGAAATCGTTCGTCATTAAATTCGGCTGAGAAAACGGATAAGGGAGGAAAAGGAAAAGGAAATAAGAATCGAATGCTACCACGACATTATATCATTCCCTTATCGTTTCTCACGGAAGATAAACGACAACGGAGAGCAAAGATAAGGTATTCTTTCTGACCGGTGCGGTGGAAAGAAAGAATTTTTTATCTAACACATCCGAGACCTATCATCCAGAGAAAAAGGAGGCGAAAGGTTGTATGCTTAGCTGGAAAGTAAATGCACTTTCTGCCACGTTAAGTACGCCCCGATATCCAGCCGTCCACGATAAGAGACAGAATTTTCTGCACGCGACCACGCGACAGTATTGATTTAAATGAAACCCTCAGGTTTTATAGCGCGTTGCTGCACCGTTTTCCTGGCTAAAACAAACAAGAAAAAAGGCTTTAATACCTTCGCGTAATAATTATTTAACGTACGAGGCAATTTTTCTCTCCCGGAAGAATTGTGAAAATTTCCAAAAATCTGTCACCTTCCGCTCGTAAAGACTTTGGGTAAAGACCGGCCCTGAATTCGAAGCGATTATGTACCACCCAAGACAGGGCTACTGTCCCGCAACGACGAATCGTTTTTGATGGCAGAATGATGGCAGAATGATGGCAGAATGATGGCAGAATGATGGCAGAAAAAAAGCGTCGTTCGCGCATGCTGGCATGATGCTGCTGTTCATCTGTTGAACAACTGATGGGGCCAAGACTGGCCGCTTGCCCGCCAGTCTCGAGTGATTGATCTCACGTGGAAGCGGGATGCCATGTCGGCGTGGCGTGGCGTGGCGTGGCGTGGCGTGGCAACGAGGTCGGCCAAGAGGATGAAAACATGCCGGTCGAACAATTAGCCAAGCTCGCTGAAGCACCGTGTGGATGTTTCAGCGAGCGAAAACCGATGATGGGGCCAGCGTGAAACGTCGACGTGGTTGACCGCTTGCCAATGTGCGTTCTGCGTCAGTATGCATACGGTCTACATACAACTTATGTATGTATGTATGTATGTACCTCGTGATGTAATGTAACACGTGTAATGTAATGTCCTGTGCCGTTTATGCGATATAACTGACGATGCACCGTATATGGACACCTTATGACACTTGCTGCGATGTACGATCTATTGTACCTATATGTCCTTTTCTATGTAATTCATCACGCATAAGATTCGGTAATCCTTGCTCCTCTTTTAATCAATCGAATGGTCGACTTTGAAACGTGAGAACGGAAAAAGCGTGTTACTGTCGTTCGTTAATTTCTCTGGTGAATCTTTTCATTCTCATCGAGCGAAATGGAGAAGACGCGAAGTTGATGAGCGAACAGATAAAAGATTACTCCGGCGAACAGAGTCTGCTCCTTAAGGGACTCTCGCGGCAGAATTTGATGGACATGATAGATTATGGATCACGATACAGGGTTACAATACGTATATATTATAGTTTGTAGAGAAGAATCACTATATGTACCTTGTCGCATTTGTCTGTTACTTTATAGTTAGCATAATGAAGCAGAATGCGATTGGTACCCTGATACGATATTTCAAACTAATTACTATAATTACTGTATCGATATATCACTAGCTATACCCTAGTAACATAACAAACTTATAAAATACTGAACTGGAATCAAACCTTTCCAAAGTTACAGTGCAATGTTTTTAACGCACGCGACATCGGCCGGCATTATGTCGTTAGGCCGTTAGGCGAACAAAGTTAAAACTGTTTTCATCGAACGAACTAAACGCATTTGCGTTCGCATATTTACGGCGATGTTATATCTACCTTGAAAAATTGCTCGAGTAATTTGCGTTTCCATAAAATCGAAAATAGGGTCGTAGATCTTGTAAGTAATAAAAGGCGGGAAAAAAGATGTGTCAATTATTTTGTCCAATGTACCTTAAGAAATTTCTAATACTTCAAATGTGCACAAGGTAGATGTTTTCATTGACAATTTAAATGGCAAATATAAATAATTTCAAAAGCATCAATGAATTTGTTATCATCAATTACACGGTACAGAATTTATAATTGAGATTTAATTATAGATCATTTATAAAATAATATCGACATAAAAATAAAAAAAAATAAGAGTAACAATGTGTACTTAGGCTTTAATCGTGCTTTTCGTTATAGCCTTTGTAAATGTCAATCAAATTAAATTGTGTCTATCAACAAATGACGACAACAGATCATCACGTGATGAAGAAATTTTGAATCGTAACGTCGTTAAAAAAAATTACTACGGAATTGAAGAAATTACCGACCACTAATTTTGTCGGAATTATCGTATAAATTCGTTTAAAATATTACCGCAATTTGTCAGCTGTACTTTCACCGAATTTGGTTACATGACAGACATAATATTGGACTGGAGTAAAAGAAACACTTGCTCCGCTGTTTTGTGACAGTAAACTTCATGTAAATATTTCAGTTCACAAATGTCAATTGAAGAAGCGTTGTAATGACAAGTAGCGGTTACTTACAATTGATGTTGTAGGGTCAGCATGACTTTTTCGAAGAAATAAGTACAGATGCGTGCATTTGTACAAAAAGACAATACGAGTGTACACGTTCGTGGACGATCATTCAAAGGTAACACTAATTTAACGGAAGTCTATTGGAGACAGTCACTTGGTGAGTTCCATAGAAACCACATTGAAACTGTATAATATCGCGCACTTGACAATACTTTCGTCTATGAACACCACAAATTTTGTTAATCGTTCACGTTCGTAACACTACTCCGTTTGACATAATTTATCTGGTGACCCCACGGCTGGTTACCCGTCGACCGACGCAAAGCAACGCTGGGAGCTGCTATCCGAATGGTGGGGATACAGCAGGGGACACGCAAATATATAGATGTCCCGGCGTAGGTTTGAAAATGTAACGGAGTCACTGATTGGCTGGATAGTTATTCCGTTTGCGCGGGCTTTTAAATTTAATACAATCGATTACTGTGCACATATTCAACTATAATTACACTTTACTAATATATAAATCTTACTGTTTTCCTTTTATTCATCATATTTGACATTTTTAATTTCCTGTAATCGTGTGAAATTTTTAACTTTATTTTATACAGAATATATTTGGAAGCTAAAACGGTGTATGTACCTACCAAATAACGAAGTGGTTATATTCTTGATAAATAATTTTAAACCACTTTGTATTTATATTTTAGAACTGTATAAGTATGTAATATAATTGCTGTTTTTCAATGTAAATGCAATTTTTCAATTTTTTGTTATTTAATTGTCAAATGTAAAAACGATCGAGTAAAAATATCTTATCTATCAACGTGGCATTTGTTAATTGTTTTAGTGCCCTCTAGCGCCTATTTATGTAGTCACTGTATCTACTATGTACATATATACATACATAGTTGTTTTGACAGATCGTATGGTTAGGTTGGATTGCATTCTAAATGTACAGTTGTTTCATGTATAATAAAATATAAATTGTATAAAAAGATGGAAAACGATAGCCCTATAATATATGGACTTGAATTCCAAGTATGCAAATGATAATACAAATTTTTATATGACAGACCTTTACAGTTCTTTTAGCCAAATACATACTCCCACAATAATATTAAATTTATTGTAAATTATCTATTTTATTGTTACCTGTTTTACCTATTATTAATGGAAGTATAATTTTGTTTATATTCCAGACAAGAGCACTATCGGCTCAAACAGCAGAAACTGATGTTGTTAGATTTTTAGTAGGAACACAGTCTTTGAAATTTAATAATAATCAAGTTCATGTGGTAGAACTTAATGAAGAAACAGGTGGTTTAAAGACACAAGTGTTTCATCATCCTATTGGTGAAATTTGGTCTTTACAAGCATCTCCTACAGATCCCAATGTATTTATTACCTGTTATAATAGTTTAAGCGGTAATTATTATTAAAACTTTTAAATTACCAAATTAAGACAAATAGTTTTTAAAAGTTAAACATATATTGTATTTACTTAGATGACGGTTCCTGTCAAATGAAAGGAGCTCTTTGGAAGTTGCCAGAATTGAAGGAATATACAAATGATGTTGAAGACCTTAAAAAGTTAGCAGAAATTGATACAACACCGTATGGTACAGATCTTAAAACCATTGCTTATCATCCAATGGATTCGACAAAAGCTGTATCAGTTGTAGATAATAAATTTGTATTATGGGATTTAACTGAAAATGGACCACAGGTAACAATAGGTTTCTGCATTTATTGTCAAGCAATTGTATATATTCTGATACCTTGCACAGACCGTCACTTCTGGTACTTTGGCTGGTAAAAGTCAACCACGTTTCACAAATGGAAAATGGAATCCTCACAATGGTTGCAATCAGTTTGTTACTTTAAATGAAAATAACGTTCGTGGATGGGACTTTAGAAATCCTTCTGAAGCATCTTGGACAATTTTGTCTGCTCATTCTCAAATAATCAGGTAATACTTGTTCTCATTTGACTATAAAATAATAATCAACTATAATATAAATGAATAAACTAATTTATAATTTAGAGATTTAGATTTTAATGCAAACCGACAGTACTTCTTATCTACATGTGGAGATGACGGTTACATGAAATTCTGGGACATTAGAACACCCACGGAACCAATACTATCGCGTATGGAACATTCTCATTGGGTGTGGAATATTAGAATAAATCGTTTCCATGATCAATTAGTTTTAACTTCCAGTAGTGATTCAAGAGTAATATTATGTAGTATTGCATCAATTTCTTCAGAACCATTTGGACACATAGTTTCTACTGAAGATGATTGTACACAAAATGACTACAGTTGCAAGAAAGACAAGTAATTTCAATAACTCTATAACGAAAATAAATTTACAGAAATTAACATACTAAATATAAAATCATATGTTTAGGCTAGAAGATGGAGTTGTAGGTAGATACGAAGAACACGAAGATAGCGTTTATGCAGTAGAATGGTCATCCGCGGATCCTTGGACATTTGCATCGCTAAGTTATGATGGCAGATTGGTTCTTAATAAAGTGCCCAGAAAATACAAATACCAAATACTACTTTAAACTTACTGTATATATATAAAAAAATTAATTTTATTTACATATAACAAAGACGTTAATTATTTTGTAAATATTGGTTAGCATTATTTATTTTATAATTTATAATCGTTCTGATACTTTACTAGCTACATTTCTTAACTGTCCATAAACCTTTGATGGTGGACTACCCAAAATTAAATTACATATAGCTCTTCTTGCTAATTGTATATTCTGATATGAACCAAGTATGTGAACTTTACTATCTGCTAACACAATTCTTGTCTTTGTTACATTTTCTATTGTAAACTTTGTTCTACCACCCTTCCCTGCTAATCTACCAATAGCTCTGGAAAGATGATCCCCTTTTAAAGGTTTTACATCTTGAACTTCAAATGTTTCTACAAATAAATCATCCAAACGTAATAAAGCCAGAGCATCTTCCACTTCAAAACCATAAATAAAAGCTTTTACAAAATCAGCCCCCTTTTGCAAATTAGCGATATCAGGAGTCTCTGGAGCTGTGCGTAATTCTACATTCCTAGTCTTTAAATTAAACCTTATTTGCAATTGCAAATGTTCAACAACAGGGGTAAATATCTTCATCCAATTTTCTTTGAGAGGAGTGTACCTATGTGCAGGTACAGATATCTGAAAATACATTATTATGTTGTAATAATAATACAGAGAAATTTATTGGAGAAAATAAATTGATTTATTACCTTCCTCTGTTCACCACCTTGTACATTTCTAGCCCTTTTTGTACTTGCATGTGATTTTGTGTTTCCTTGTATACCATTAATTACTTCAACCTACATAATTGTATAAAGAACAGATATGTACAAACAAAAAAAATTATATACTACTTTATAACCATACACATTCTCCTATACAACTTAACCTCACGACTTACTTCCATACGATTTTCACTTATGCGTCGCTTGTTTCTTTTCTTGTTTTCAATAAATTCGGTTGTTTTCGAGATATTTTTTGATTCTTCTTTATCCGTAGTATCCATTTTTGTAGAAATTAATTACTTATTACAATACTGAAAACTTATATTTGAAGACACTGCCCCACACGTGTCCTATCCGTATATATGTATTTATATAGCCATGTATATTTATAGGCAATGGATTCATTTGTATACATATATGTACACAACATGTCTGTATATGTGTATTTTTATTGATTTTATTGATTGATTTATAAGTCTATGATATAAATAAATCAATATATTTTGTAGGAATAATACAAATCTAAAAAATGTAATTTTAAGTTCACTTAATAATAATGTACAATAATTATGCTAACCAACCATTGAGCTACATTTAACAAATATTTATCAAATTGTATCAAGAGTTATCAACCATAACAAGCGAATAATGAGTACCTTATTTATAGTATTTTAATTATTTTGAGATCAAATACTTAGTGTTAAGACATATTAGATATGCTCTTCAAGACATATTTTTCAGTTAGTTGTTGTTCAGCTAAAAATAATATTCAGAGGATATTAAAAACCATTATTTGTAAAATTATTACTAGAAAATGACATTTAACAACAAGAAAAATAAATAATACCTACATACACATAATTTCATGGTATTCAGTAAAAATAACATGAAATAAAATAGTTCCATTTACTGTAAAGAAATTATGAAGAGATTATTAATTTACAATATGACTTAGAAATTGCAGTTTTTCAAATTTCATGAAAAGTTATTTTAAATTTTATTTACCCTAATCTTAATGAATGTTATTAGCTACTTGTACTATACCCTGTTGAAAGTAATTATTGCTTAAAAACTGCATAAATAAAATTACTATACGCAAGTGGCAAATGAATTTTAAGTTATATGAAACCTACAAATTTGAAAAGATTACAGTAAATTAATTACAAATGGAAGAACAAAAATACTTTGATCGTTTACATGTTAAAACTCTAAAATCTTTTCAAAGCATTTGAATTAATGGGTACCTTAAATAAATTTACTTTGTTATTATATAATTATGTACTTCTAAAGATACATAGAAAAACTAACTTGAATTTTATGTATCAACTTTCGTTTCTAGACACTGTATTCTCAACTATTCATAAAATATCGTTTACTTCTTTATAAAAAAAATATACTGTAAAATTAAAACTAGAAACCTTGATATAACTACAAATTGTATTTGCATGTTATAAATAATCATAAAATTATTTTGATTTGACAAATAAGTAATGTGAAGTATCAAAGTAATTCATGAAACTGGGTATGATACAAAATAAGCAATTGCATTTTTTATAACATATTTTTCATTATCTTTGAAGTTTATGGTAATAATTAATAACAAGAAAAAAACCTTCATCAATGTGTCTACAGTAATTATTAAAAGGTACAATTAGCAAATTACTATATTGTGTATCCACTTTGTGTAATAATAGGTAATAATATAATTATAATATTTTCTTTATAATCATAGCGCAATTTTTCTTTTCACGTGCTCAATCGTTTTCTACAAATATAGTATTGTATCTAATTTTTTATTTATATATATATATATATATATTTATATATTCAATTGCATCATTATCAATTATTTACTTTTACTGCTATTTATATTAATTAACCAAATACTAAAAATACAAATATTTTGCATACAGCAGGTTTTAAAGTCATCAAATTTCATCTTAGAGCTGATGGTTTTAAAACGCATGTTCATATACACAGTTAGAATATTCGTAGCATTGCAAACAAAATTAAGGAGCTTGTAATGCACTTATTATACATACATACAAATGGGCACAAAAGTGAACATTTTAATTGGTATAATTATTATAGTCTGCACGAAAAGTGGTGCTATGTTTAATGGTTTATGAAGCACACTATAAACACCAATTACTTATTGAGCGTCACAAATACACCACGTTATTTTTTTTTTTTTTTTGCTAAATGTGTTGAATATCAACAATTGTCACATATTACAATCAACTTGCGTGATCTTTGGTGTATCTATATTATTTTTATTATAATACATACGTACTATATGCGATTACATGGCAGACAAACTTTTAAAAGCTCCTTAATTATGTGAAAATGCAAAAAATGTACTTATTTTTAAAATATTTATATTTACACACAAAGCTTATTTTGTTTATAATCTATACAATCATATAAATGTAATATTCAATAATAAAATTGTAACGTAATAATCCCTAACTTATCTACCTAATTTCAAAGAGAATATTTTACATCGAAATTACAATGTTTTTCCTGCTCGTTCTTAAATTCTGTTATTAAATAACTATACATTATTACACTGTTCAATTACAATATAGGGCTGAATCAAATTGAACGCCATTCGGATGTCCATTTCTTTATATGTTTTATATATATACACAGCATAAATTCCCACCATGTAAAATAAGCATGCTATTATTTACAATATATGATTCAAGTTTATTAAAACAAATTTCGATAAACAAGTAAATGTTCTAACTAAATAATTTAACTTAATATTAAAGATAGAAAAAAGGTTTAACGAAATTATAATGGCTTTAGCCAGATGATGTAAATTTGTTAAAGATCTTTTCTATTTAAAATATTATTAAATTCAGTACTCAACATTCATATGACAGAAATATTTTTTTTAAATATGTTACCTGATAGCCATCAAAGCTGTAATACGTGACACGGAGAAAATAGTACCGACATGAATTTATAATAAAAGATATGAAACAAATAAGTTTCTTTGAAAGAAATTAAAATAAAAAAAAAATTAAATTGAAGCAATTCTAATTTGGAGTAAAGTTTATTTAATCGTGAAGCATTAATATGTTACAATTTTATGAAAATCTTTTATGATAAAAGGGGAAAGTAATCATAGTAAAATACTTGATCATTTCTGAAATATTCAAACTCGCAGACGCATGTCTTTCTTAATGAAAATAATGGAACGTATATAGAATTATGAAAAAATTAAATAGACATTTAATATTATGATATTTTAAATGCAGATTGTCAATTAAGAAAATGCTATGATGGCTATCACAGGTTCATTTAGAACTTCCAACTCTCAACTGTATAATTTACATTTATACAATATAAAACTAGATTATCTGTTCACAAAAAACAATAGTTCATATATATATCACATACATACATATATAATATTATATATACGTATGTATACATATTCCTGTATACTTTAAGTGATGTCAAAAGGGTGCTTATAATGTTCTCAGTGCACGATCACAAAAAATAATTAATAGTATGACAATGTTGCACAATCTGAATTATCACTAATTTAATAAAAATTTGAACAACTTCTATATATACAACGAGGGGTGCTTTATGTATTTTTTACAAGAAATTATTTACAAAATATATTCATTTATATATTACCTATCAAATTAACATTGTATTAATCATTTTTCTATAATTATTATTATTTTCATATATTTATGCATGAGTTATTCCAACGTTGTGTTTATGTTCCATAAATAAAATAAATCCTTTTTAATAACTCTATACCTCTGCCTTTTTGCAGTATTTTAACTCAGGACGAACTTCCTACTGAAAGACTATGTTCACTGAGACAGAGAAAATAGCGATCCTGGAGTAAATATACGTACAAGTAATCTTTGTTAAATTCATAAAATCATAAACTATACATAAACTTCTTACAATAGTCGTGATTATCTCTGTATAAATTTATAGAAAAGTACGATTGTCCTATAAATATTTTTTAAAAGACTTTTCTAAATGTACAATTCAAATAATATTTTCAATTGCGTTCATAAAGGAGAATATATTATTTAGTATAATGACGAAGAATGTATGTAATTATAATACTTTTTCATTTACAAATAATTATTTATACGCAACGATTTCGTGTTGTAGTTGTAGATGAATTAAAATGAATATCAAATAATTAAACACTTTTAAACAAAGTCTATCAGTGAATTCGTCAGAGTAGCGGACTTAAGCCCCCACCAGTCAATGAAAATTGTCCTTGAAAACGTACATTTACTTATGGCAGTACAGTCAAACTTCATATTTAATGGATTAAAAATTTCTCGACTTTCTTTTACCATTATTAACTTTCCTTCCATGATAACTAATAACTTTAATGGACAAATAATAAATGTATCTCCTTACATGCATTATTTTTGATTTCGATTAAAAATAATTACTTGTTAATGCTTATTGCAATTAGTATCTAAATAGAATAATATTAAGGTATTCAATCTGAAAATTTTGTATGTGTAAATTTTTGTCATCACTATATTTAAACAACGTCCGTTTAGATTTTTTTCGTCTTCAATAATTAAATACAAGATTGTAAAAGCTTGGCAAAAGAAAGTTGCACATTGACTCGGCAGTTTTGGATCAGTTCAGTTACTTAGATTAAAGTATAATGCATTGAGCAGATTATTCTGAGTAACTAAACTTTGTTTAGGAGTAAAGTATAACCGAGTACGCTAGACGGCGACAAAAACATTATAATGCAATTTTTATGATATTATTCTTTTTCCTTTATCGACGAACAGTTTTAAATGCTTTTAAAAATATAGCAATGATATCTGTAAATCTATTTGAAATATTTTCATCGGTATTATCGAACATTAAGGAGATTTTACTATATATAATAGTAAGAAGGAAAAAAAAAAAAAAAAAAAAAAAATGAAAAAAATTGAAATACCATCCAGCACTCCAAACACGATACTCCTGTAACACATACAACAGCATTGTGCGCTATTGACGCATGTAGTTTCACCAGGTGGGGTCCAGCCACACGGCAATCACATAACCATTTATAACAGATACACAATCAGTTGGATAGGCCTTGACGAGCGACGGTAGCTAATCACTGTCAAGGTCACTTCCCGAAGGTCATTTGTTTTCTCGGGATATTCGCCTCCGCTTTGCCTGCTCTGCTGCCTCAGCTGTTACTAAAACAATGTTCCCGCTGTACGAGGTGTTTCAATTAAAATGGTATGTGAAGTATATAATTTATAAACTAAACGACGTTTCATATTTTTCGTAACGTAAATATTATTGAAAAGAAACGAAAAATGTATGCAGCGATTAAAAGAATTGTATTGTTTTATTTGATTAAATCAAGTAGAAATATTTACATACCAGCACCACTTCGAGTTTTCCGTCTAGTAATATCTTCCGTTGATCTAGACGCACCCCTTGTATTGCTTGCTGGTGTTGCCAACGGCGAAGCTGTGTTCTGCCTAACAGATCTTCTTGTTGTTACTTCCCCTAAGGATTCATTACTGGATGCAGAAGTACCACGTAGCCTTTCCTTTCCGGCTGTAACTATCGCGGTTGTACTCGGTTGCTTGGTGGTTAATAAACGGCTCTCTCTTTGCACTCTATTACTGGCATTGAAATTTGATATATTACTGGAATTAATTTGACTGCCAGAAACAGTTGTGCTTGTATTTGTTCTAGAATAACAAAAATTTATTTACGTAGCGGGGCTCTCAAATCTCTGATATATTCAGATATGCACTGCTGCTAAAAGAATGCTGAACCGATGTTGCTTACTTTTGATCTTTAGACTTTGGAGATGCAGCGGATGTTTCGTCTGATAATCGCATTCTTGCTTTTCCTACTGATTCAATCAATGGTTCATCATCAGACGAATCTACTTCTACCACAATGGGACCTAAAAATACAAAAATGTTTGTATCAAAGTTCAGGCCCAATTTTAATATTTCTCAATACTTGTCTCATGTAATTATGAAAGAAATGACCGAGATAATAATTTCAGTCTGGTTAACATAAGGAACAAGAAATGTTAAAATTTTGATCAATCAATTAGAATCGAGGCACTTTTGTTACCCTGTTTTTGGCAGTCCTTATCATTTTATCATTTTCTTTTAACATAAAAGAAATAAACATATACCTAAATATATCTAGTAAAAATTTGTTTGAATATACATAGTGTTTCGTGTAATTTTATCACCTGTTGAACCGAGTTCAATGATCTACAAAGTGCTCCTAGCCTTTTTAAGGTAATAAAGTTACATGAGAAACTCTGTATAGATATAATATACTAAGATAAAAAAATAACTATTAAAGAATAAATAATATAAGATAAACACCTTTCTTAGCCTTGGCCAATATATTGAATCCTTTTTTCGACTGTTCTTCTTTAGCAGGTACTTGTTTCTTTAACGAACCAGCTTCGTCTACACCTATACAAGCTTTAATAAGTTCTGCAGCATTCTCAGAGCATTTCCTTTTCCCTGGTCTTGGTTGTGGATCATCAGCGGTACTAGATGCTACAGAACTCTCGCTTTCTTGACGTTTCCTTTTCCCTACTTTTATTGTCGTATTAGGAGATAATTTTGACACTCCTAACTTTGGACTTGCTTTAGCATATGGTGATATACTGCGTCTCTCTTCTAATTTATTAGGACCATGAGGACTACTTTTAGGAGTCTTTACAATGTCAGGGCTATTCAATTTCTGGGATCTCGTTCTTAAAGATCTTTTCTCATTAGTATCATTCGGGATTTCTATTAAAAGTTGTTCCAGCAATGACTTTGGTGGTCGTTTAACGTAATCGTCCGTGTTGTTAGAATTCAATCTTTCCACAAAATGTGTTTCATCGTTATCTTCTATACATATGACATCCTGCCTTCCTTCTAATTCCTGTTTTCTTCTACGTTTTCTCTTCACATGTTCGACATCGCTGGAATCGACTTCCGGATTTTGTGCTGCCGGGCTTGGAGTCTCGTCCCTCTGCAGAACTACTGGATTAGAATAGGTATAGAGCGGTGGGGTGATTCGGATCGGTTGAGGATCTTCACCTAAAGGCGATTGAATACCTATATTTACGTCACTTGTATCGTTCACAATTTTCTTAACCAGATCGTCTGTAACTTTCTGAAGATTCATAGAAGACTCTCTAACGGATACTTGATGATGGCTTTGTACATTAGATTTTTGGTTTTGATCAGAACATTGCTCTAACTTAACGGATGTTGCGTTTAAAGAGTTCAAAGAAATGTTAGAAGTTTTAGCGTTATCTGTACGATCGTTTTGCCTTGTATCGTCAACTTTTTTATTGATATTAGATTCTACTTTGATTTCTGAACTAAAACTCTGACTACTGGAACATGAGTTATCTGCCGCTGCCGCCGCGTTACCCTCACTTGCAACTGTATTATCAAGCTTTTCTGTCTTTACTTTATTATAAGAAACATGATTTTGTATTACAGGCACACCATTGTTATTTTGTCCATGAGGTTCATCGTTTAATCTAATTGCACTATCATCTATGACTGTTTTTATATTATCTTCAGTTGCACTTTCCGGGCCTCTCGACACTTGGTGTGTTGGATTCGTTATACCCTGATCATGCTGCTGATTGATAGAACCTTCTAATTTAATGCTACAATTGTCTTTCTCAGAAAAGTCATTTGTTTGCTGCTGTGCGCATTGCAATAAATTATCACTATCCACAGTACTCGGTACAGAAGTAGTCACAATAGTCACAGATCCGGTTATTAATGGATTTGATACACTTTTATCGTTATCAGCCACCTCTAAACTAGCAACCATTTCACTATGACCACCAGTTCTCGATGCCGTTGAAGTTGACTTTTCACTAGATACATCTTTAATGTCATGTTCACTAGAGTTTGATATATTATGGTTTAAATGATTTTCAAGATAATTTGTGACAGACACAGGACTTAACCTTTGTTGACCACTGGACTTCAAAAGTTCTGAATGGGAATTTGAACACATATCACTATTACTAGTTGAGGAAGGCACGTTCTTATTGGTGATTGGTAGGGAAGATTCCCCTTGAACAGCAGTCTTTGCACTGCTTTGTGTTACCGGTTCAGTCGCTGGCCTGTGCAAAGGAGATTCCCCTTGATTCGGTGACTTTTCTGAAAGAGCATCCATGGACTCGATACCCGAATCTTCACCACCTCCTCCACTGCTAACTCTTTCCACCGTCGCATCCACCCCGATCGCGATCGGAGCTGTTGTTTCAAGCAACTTTTGCTTAACTTTTGCTTCCGTCACATTTATTTCTCCAATTGGTAATGCAGGCTTGCTGGAAGGTACATCAACGCTTTGGGATCTGGGAACTTGGTCCACTGAGTTTCCTATTGCTGAACTTTGCGTAGTTTTCAATAAACTAATTCTCTGTGTATTATCCACTTTATTTTCTACGATCGCTCGATCAACCTGCTTTATATGATTCTGAATAACTTTCTTGTGACCAAAATGCTCTACTTTATTATGCCTATTAAGTGCAGCATTTGTGTCGTTCTTTGAAACCATGTGGTTTTTCAATTTCTGACTGATAGTTTGACTTTTTGCTGTAAGGTTAGAGTTTGCTTTAGAATTATCTATATCGGCCTTATTTTTCACCGATATAATCCTATTTACAGATATCTGTGCATTTTTTACAGTAGCCTCTACGTGAGTAGATACTTTGTTTTCAAGATTGGTAGGTGAACTTGAATCATTTTGTGCAGGCATATTCGAAAGTACTAATCCAGAATTCTCATTTTCAAATGATGAATTACTAGTAGTTTTTGTATTTGTATTTGGAACTGTATTAGCGGAAGAACATTCAGGAATGGTCTTCTGATTACTAAAGTGCGTAGTCTCTGCATCTTGAGATTCTGTAAAATATTTGAAAAAAATTGAAAATAATTGAACACTGGTTAAAAAATTAATTTTTATCAAACATTTATAATATAAAGCACAATAATCACCTCCTAAATGTAGATCTTTTTCGTCCATTAAACTTAATCTTCTTCTCTTCTCTTGGCTAATTAAATCTTTTTTAATGCCATTTATTTCTGTTAATCGCGAAGCAACAACGGCATTCAATGTATTATTCTTTTCAACAGCCGATCTATTAATGTCGCTATCACTCGTTCTTCTAATTTCCCCTACTTTTTTCACTGCATTGAAATCATTTCCAGTCAATAGCGCATCAGCTTTTCTTATAGACTGACCTGAATCACCTTTGTAATTAAGTTTTCTCCACTTTGCTTGATTATCCAATATTCTACCACCAGATAATAAATTTTGTTCGCGATGTAAACCCTCTCCTGATTCTGATTTCTTTTTAGAATCTCTTCTTTTGGTTTTTCCTGGAGAATAAAAATCAAACACAAGACAATAAGTAATAAAATTGTAATAAAGTTATAATTTTTTAACTGTAATAAATTATAAATAAAAAATCTTACCTCCTCCTATTTTATGTTCTTGCATGTGATTTGGAACATCTAATTCAACTTGACTTTTCGTTAAGGACTGTTGCGTATTCAAAGGTTGATTCAGAACAGTAGATTTATGTTTCGAAGGAGATGGAATTCTACTATTCAACGGTATATCGTCAACATCACTGCTTTTACTTGAACTTGGTTTTGTAATGCCACTTTGAACGTGTACAACATCGATCGGTAATTCTTGTTTTAAGGCATTAGGTTTTGATACAACTGTTTGAAGTATATTATTAACTTTGCTGATAGTATTGGTACTATTGATCATTGTGGAATTGGATAAAGGTAGTTTGGATGCGGATGAAGTACCTATTATCATGCTCAAGGACGATTTTTTTTGCAACAATTTGTTCCCATCTATGCACCCTTTCATTTTTTTTAATTTTCCTCTCCTTTTTATACTAGTCGGATCCAATTCTCCATCCTTTAATGATTTCTTTTCTTTCTTTCGGATTTGTACTACTGAAGCATTACGCCCTCTTAAGGAAATATGTAACGGAGGCACTCTCGGTTCATCGCCGGTTCCCGAGTTTGGAATACCAGTGGTAAACATTTTATTTACCGATTTATCGGCTTTCCTAATCGGTGGTGTGTTTACAAAAGAAACGTCAACCTTATACGCCGGAGTAACAGGTTCAGATTTCTCTAATTTTAATCTTAGTTTGATTTTCTCTCCAGGCATAGGGCTCTGTGCGGTTTCTCTACTTGATTTTATTCTACTATGCTTCAAACTTCCCTCACTGGCAGTAGATTTTACCGTCGTTTCAGAATCTGATTGATCTGTATTTGTTGTTGTGTCGTTTCTTCTTGAGAAATTGCTGTCTGCATCGTCGTCCGAAAATATGGAATTTGATCGATCGTTTGATGGGGATGGAAAGGAAAAGAAATCATCCGGATTATCTACCGCACTTTCCGGTTCCGAATCTGAACTCTCGCTGGGCATTGGTTCCAAATGGCCGGTTAAAGGGTTGATAAGAAACTGTCGTATTTTGCCAGTCGACGTGTATTCCGGTTCAGGTGTCTCTTCTTTAGGTTTAGGAGATTCAGAGGTTTCAACCTTAGCGGTAGGCGAAGCAGCGTTACTATTAGAAACATGATTGGTGTGAGATCCGCATTGAGAAAAGGCACCTGAAACCTGATTTGTAGTTGGCAGACGTGTTGTATTGACTTGAGCACCCTGTGGAATAGAATTATTTTGTGCGGTCCACGTGGTCCCATTACTATTACCGGTTGTTGCCTGGTAATTTCTACTAAGAATATTTTGACTCTGCCCGTAACGGAAATCAGCCGTTGCACTAGTGTTAACGTTTATATTTTTCAGCTGATTATGATGTAATTGTTGTTGCACGTTCAATCCTTGATTCTGTTGTCCTAAATGGGACTGTGATGGAACCGGTTGTCGCGAATAAGGAGGAGGAGTTTGTTGACGTTGATTAGTTAAGTAACTTAGCCGTTGTTGTGAAATACTACTCATGCTCACTGTTGAATGTTGCATCAGTTGCTGCTGCTGCTGCTGCTGCTGTTGTTGTTGTTGTTGTTGTTGTTGTTGTAAAAGTGGTTGATTGGGAACGGATGTAGGTTGCAACGATGTATTTACAGTTTGTTGTTGTACCAATGATTGTTGTTGCGTTGATGTCTGTTGCGTAAGCAAATGAGAAGTATTTATATTTTGTTGTTGATTCAATTGTTGCTGTTGCGTCAAAATTTGATGTTGTTGTTGTTGTTGTTGTTGCTGCTGCTGCTGTTGTTGTTGTTGAAGGAGTAATTGCCGTTGCTGCAAAGGTGTTCGAATTTGCTGTCCATTCACTGGATGTCTAATTGGAAGTTGACTTTGTAATTGTATCTGTGAAGGTCTGTAAGCCAATTCTTGCCTAATGGGAAACTTTTGTTGAATTTGTACTTGAGCATGCAATGACGAAGCAGGTTGTTGCATTTGTCCGCTAGTAGAAGTTTGATGCATTACTTGTTGCGTCATATTTTGCCCAGTGCTACCAATCACGTTGACCGAATGTTGTTGGGGAATAGTTGAAGGCTGATTAGCGTTAACGGTTGCAAATGCAGATGCAGAAGATTGAGATAAATCAGATACAACTGCTGTTCCTCCGATAAGATCTTCTGTCCTAAGTGAATCTAAATTTGGTGGTGATTCACTAGGTGAGGATAAATCTTTTCTTCTAACTGTTGGCTTTTTCGTAGGTCTCATACGATTAGTAATTCCAGAATTATCGATAACAGCTGGTGGTAACATTTTCTGACCAGGTATCACATTGTTAGGGTGCGCGCCAGCATCGTTTTGTAAAAGATTTACAAGAAGCGGACTGGACAAAGCAACTTGATTTCCATTACCATTCGAATTCCCTGCCAGATTATTATTGTTTGGTGACAGACTAGATGTAGTGGTAATCGAAGACTTGTACTGATTTGTCAACTGACCAACTGACACAACTGACTGAGTGGTAGTATGACCAGTAGTTAATGTTGTTACTGTCGCCAAATTCTCTTGAGCAGGATAAGGCGGAGGTGGCTGTACATGATGTTTAAACTGCATTGCATTTTTAATTGTTGCTTGTGATTCGCGACTATGTATTGCTTGGGCAGCATGCGTCATACTTGCAAATGGGAATGGACCATTATAATTACTCCTAGGTGAAGCACTGGGATTAGTAACTGGTTGATTTCCAGATACACCAACACTATTACTTCCTGATGCTGACTGTACAGATTTTGCAAGAAATGGTGGGATAGGATCACAGTCTGTAGGTGCAACTACATTCGGTGAACGAAACTGTGGTGTTTTTTCGGATGATGTACCTAAAAGAACAGTCAACATTAGAAATGTTATTAAAAATATTTTAATATTATAGCACAAACAGGAACATACCAGCTGCTATTATTTGAGCCACATTACGCAATGCTGAAGAAATACTAGATGTATTACTTGGACCAGGTAAAGCTGTTGGAGTGTCATTATCAGCATTAGCTGTACTGCTAGTGGATTCATTTTGTGATTTGGCACCACTGTCCTGTGAGGATCCTGAACGTAATACAATTTCCTGTGCCTCTCCGCTAAAGCGGTTGGCTATCCTTAATGATATTACCTATTATATACAATTTATATGTATCATTCATTTATCATCAATCTTATATATTTACATACATATATAAACAATAAATATTAAAAAATACATATATTACCTGATCTCCTTCAACCTGCACCGAAAGAATTCCAAGTTGTGTAAGAGCTGGAGAACCCTGAGCTGCTAATTCTCGAAGACGTAATGCAGCTTCTCTGGGTATTGAGAATGTGACTCTGACAGAATTCCATGGCTCTACTTTATTTACTCTTAAACCATCACCTTTTTCTATAAATTTACAAATCAGTAATTTATGTGTACTATTATTATGTAATTAATCTTTTGTTACTTGCAAAAATTACCTTTGCAAAGCAAAGATTTAAGACGATCAATAATGGTTTTAAACTTATGTGGAAACTCAGGATCTTCTAGGTTACCCTCACACGTTACCACCGTTTGAATCAGATCACCATCACTATCAGCCGCCATGACTATAATACATAATGGATACTATCACAGTGGTTTCACTTGGAATAGCTTAAATAAATTTGTTGTACAACAAATCATCGCCTCTTTTATAATAAAAAATAATTTACACAGATTATTTTATATTTTAATTAATGTCAAACTATAGTTAACATTTACTGTTCAATTTAATATGTTATTCCAACACTATATGCGGTGAAAATAAATTTTAATACTTACCAACCACAAATCACATAACTACCCAGAGAGGTTACAAACGCCTCAGGGTATCACTACAGTATGTGGTGATAAGATGTTTGTCTGTCGGTTTTAAACCGACAACTCCAAACAACGCCAGCACTAATAAATATGCTTATTGTTTCTATGGGACAAGATAATACAATTTTATTACATAATGTGATATACAAAAGAAATTATATTCAAGCTATTAGGATACTAATAATGATATTAAATAACTCCAAGAAAGGTGTAATAAGGAAGTAATAAAATTTTTCTTTGACACAACAAAATAATAATCAAAAAAATTATGGTATAAAGCATATACAATACAAAATAATAATGAAAAATTTCATAAAATTTGATATATAACCATATATTCTTCATTTATTAATTGTTTATAACGATTTTTATTAAATATTAATTAATGTTTAACAACCTATACTAATGTACCAATGAATTTATACTACAAAATATAGAAAAAAATAATTTATAATTATTTTTATTTATTATATTATTTCATTAGTTATTAATTTTTCTTATTTACAGATTATAAATAAACGATGACAAAATTTATTAAACATTTGAAAATACAATATTCTGTGACTATTAACAATAAAAACAAATTACAACATGTTACAATTATTTCAATAAAACAGTTAAAAATTATACACAGATAAGATCAAAATTGATCTTTAAAATAAAATTTTAATTGAACCCTATCAATATAAATAAAATAAAACTGAAATATTGTTACAATAACTATAAGGAGCAAAATAAAAATAAATAAAATTATGTACAACATTTATAAATTAAATTTTATTAATCGTAAATAACACATAATTAATACGATTTTATTTTGTCATGTCAACTGTTTATAAGTAACGGTATAAACGAACGATATATGAAAATATTAATAACACTAACGTAGTAATATAAAAAATTATATACTTCGATATAAAATATTTAGAAAATAATAAATGAAAACATTCCTAATTAAATAAATCGAAATCGAAATCGAAATCGAAATCGAAATCGAAATCGAAATAATAGTATAAAATTTCAATATAACATCAAATACATTCAATACAAACATAAAATTGACAACTGTGGTCTAAACAAAACACAAACGAAAACATAGTGCATAAACAAAAAGTGAGGCCAATGAGCATTACTAGGTTATAATTTGATCGTGATTTTTGTCAAATTATAATGATTAATAAAAAAAATATAACATTAACATCAATTATACCGTCAATATTTGTCGAATTGACGAACATCTAGAACGTAAATGATTTTGGATTAATTCTTACCACTCACGAACTGCAATTAAAATCTTTTGGGCCATAAGATAGGGGCACAATTTCTATGTGGAAGAAAATAGGTTATAGAATATTTTTTTTCAAGCAAACGCAAAATGGAGATTGTCACGTTACTTGAAATTTAGTATTTTTATGAAAAAATAATTCAGTTTGACAATTTTCATAACGATTTTTAATAAAATAAGGCATCCAGAACACTGGATATCGGGGGGCCACCATTTTGTCCGTCGGGGGAGGTGTACGTGAAGTGGGCTCAAGCATGCTCAAGATAGACCGTCAAAAGTCTGAACATTTTTATTTTACAGCCTCCTTATATGTTTCATACTTAGTTATGCTTACCATAATAAACTTAAAATTCAATAACGAAGATCATGGTAATCAACTAGCCTCACTTCAGTCTTTGCACAGAACGATTTCATACCGTATGAACACAAGAAAATTTTAACGTTACCCCATTTCTTTGCAACTTCGTGCGGGATTTCTCGCGTCCAAAATGCACGGAGCCACACCACAGGAGCACTAATTTTAATCGAAAATATGCCGGACAAGTCTTACTTCACTTTCTGCACACAGCGCGCGGTAGGAATCACGAAAAAACTCGACATAATCGGTAATATAAAGGGACAAGTCATAAAACGCCATGAACAATAACAAGGAGCCGCCATTTGCAATGCGAATAACTGACATGCGCAAATCAATCGCGCGGGGCACACTGGGTATTTGACGGGCGCCATCTTGCCAATCATTTTAACATTGAAATTTTCTAACCTCTTGTAGTTTATATCCTTTGTTAATCAATATTTATTACTGTATTTATGATTTTTATGCTTCTGTTTACACATATTTTACCTAATAAACATTATTATCATAAATGATTGATGTATTGCAACTCCAAAGAATCTATGAAATATATTTTTTATTTTAGTTATTTAAACTAACTTAAAATTAATAAACTATACTATTCTTTTGTATGTTATAAGTAATTGTTTTAATAATTCTGAATTCTCTCTAAATTTAAAAAAGTAGTGACATACTGATTTTATATATCACATTCTATGTATAGTTTATATTTTCTAAGCAAAAAAATTATGGTATACATATATATCTATATATATATATAGAAAATATTAATAATATTAAGAAAAATTATCTGTAAAATGATATGTAAAAACAATGCTTTAAAGAAAACAAGTATTTATTAACAAATAAATCTAAATTTATATAGTTGCATTCTAAATGCATATCTAAGCTGACTATTTTTTATACCATTTATTAATTAAATACGTATGTACATAATGTTGTGAATGAAATGACTTAATACCACTAATTCTTTTATGTGTATAATATTTAACCACTGGTAGACTGCATAAGTCCAGCCTCATCCATTCTTTTTAATGATTTCTCTGCATCATAATGCCTAAAATGAAATAAAATATTACTATTTACTGTGAAAAAAGGAATATACAAATTTAACTTATATAAAATTGTAATTACTTATAAAACTCTTCCATTTTCCTCTCGTATACATCATTAACAAACATTTTATAACCAAGCCCTACAGCAGTAACAATTCCTACCATTATTCCCAAACTTTTCTTAATACGTGTAAGGTGAAGGTTACGGAGTTGAGGTTTTGCTAACCGTCCTTCTCCCATCTAAAATATAAATTTTAGATTAGATACAATCATATAAATATATTATTGGTTATATTAAAATATATTCCCATTGTAAATGAATGTATTTGTATGTCATATCAAACATATATGATTGACCTAGCAATTCATAAATGATTCCTGAACATATTATTGATATTGACATTATTTTTATATAACACATGATAACTTTAAACAATATAGAAACAATGTCATTCTTATTAATTTTCAATATTCAAAGTATGATACAAAACATAATGGTTAAAAATTATATTATAGAATAAGATTGGTAAAATGTAAATTTAATATTACATAACGCTCGATATTTTTCTTAAATAAAAATAATGATTATTTTATCTGTACTAACGATTGAAGAACGTTAAAAAATGCATACTTTTGCAAATGAAACGATATAACAATTTCCTGAACTTTAAATTACGTTTTATAGGATCCACCGACCACCACCAACGTCAATACTACACCACCTGGAAACTGCTGGAAACCATTGGCAAACTTATAAAATAACTACTTACCAACTCACAAGATGTATGTATGTATGTATTCTGCAATAAACCTTTTACAGACCTATGTGTTCTCAAAATAATACATTTTTTATTTAAAACTGCTTTTTTAATAGAAAGCTTTTAATAAAGTGAATTCAAAATTGTTTGTAACTATAAATATAAATGTAATATAACACTGTATATAAGTAAGTAAGTAATTGCGAAGAAGATAAGAAAGTAATTAGCTTTATCTTTACATCCATCCATCTTGTATTATTATTGTCAGTGGTGGATTTGGAAGAAAAAGAAGAACGTCAATTTACAGAGTTGACAAAGAGCATTATATTAATTTAGAACGTAATTTGATGTCATTTTACTTATAAACATTTTCAGTTACCTTTTTTATACCGGATATTATAAAAATTAATAAATACTGCTTGTATTTAATTGAATGTCAATGTTTATTCAAAGTTTAGTGATTGTGACAGCTGATGAAAAGCCGAGTTGTTACGTAGGTGGACACAGCTGTATTGGACTGTCTTATTATATTTGTATTGATAAAAATTCGACAGTGAATTATTTAGTTTAATAGTAAGTTTGGATTGTATCGAACTTATCATTTGATAGAGTCAGATTTATGAGAAAATAAATATTATTTATGGATTAATTTTGTGGTACGTAATAATAGTTGTTTGTTTAACATAACTTACTTATTGCAGTTCTTTGTATTTGCATTTATATATCGTTCATAGAATGTATTTACATATATACATGGGAAGTCTCATCATTTGTTTTTACAAAAGGATTTAGCGATATTGATTAAAAAACATTTTGATGCTTTAATACAGGAATGAATAATGAAATGTGGCATTAATTGTTTTTTTTTTTATCTAATCAATAAATGTTTTGTTTTGTACTATCTTTTATACTTTTTGTATAACTATAGATTTTACTAATGTATTTAAATTATCATATCAATCATCTTTTTAATATTTTCAAAATATGTAAATATTTATTTCTTATTATATTTAGAGATCAGTTTAAGACTGTGTAAAGCAGTCAACTTTATATACAGTGATCATGGAACAAATGATTGCCTTGAGTACACAAAATCCATTAACTTTATTAGTAAAGTTTGGAATGATGGCTTGGAATGATACTTGTGGCAATGAAAATTGTTCTGGACATGGAGAATGTCATAATGGTACTTGTTTGTGTGAGGTAATATTTATGGAAATTACAATAGAACTTTTACTCTGTTTATTATACTTTCAGACACGATTGTTCCATTGTGTTTTAGATTCAATTCGATGGATTAGAATGTCATGTTCCAAATTTAAGTTACTATATCGCATTTGCAACTATATTCTTTATGTTGGCATTTATATGCCTAATCCAACTTATCATGTGTATCATTGCTGAATGGCAAAAAATGAAAGCACCATCATTTCTGAGAGCTTGTAGGATTACTACGCAAAAAGTTTTATATTTTATTGTGTTTCTTGCTTCATTGATAAGAGGAGCATATTTTACATCTCCGGTAAATATGAATAAAAATTAATATTTAATTACTTCTTAAATATTTATAAAACATCATTAATCTCATTTTTTGATAGACTGCATTCAAGGAGGGATGGTCTAGAAGTTTATTATCCGCATATTATCCACTTGTTTTAAGCGGATCTTCATTAATTGTTTGTTTCTGGGCTGAAGTATTTCATTTGAAAGATATGTCATGGGATAAACCACAGTTTCTTTCAAAATCATTTATGGGCTTTGTGGTATTCAATGTACTAACATATTCTCTGCTGTTGGCAGAATTTATTACGGTTCAAATATATTCACAAGAATATCAGGTAAATTCAGTTAATTTATTCATTTCATTTCAATTTTCAAATGAAATTGCATAAAAATATGGTGTTATGTATTTTTTTCAGGGATTCTATACCAATGTCTTTAACGGATGTTACGCAGTACTCCTATTTATTGTAGTAGTTTTCTTCTTAATTTATGGAGTAGAAGTATTTTTCAAGGTGTGTTGGTTTAGAAATGAATCTAATTCATTTCAATGTTACAATAACGTTTTGTTTTTTTTTTAGGTTCGAGGTGGATTCCTTTATGATTATCAAGATAGCACAGTAGTCTTGAACAAGCGTATGGTCTCTGATTTAAAAGTTAATGCTGAAGAACAAGTAACCACAAAATTATTTGATCCAATCCCAAGTACTTCGCAGTCTTCGCAAGTGCAACAACAAATAAATATTTCTCAGTTACATCAATCTCGCGTTGGATTATTGTCACAAGCTTTTATGCTTTTCATCGTTGTCGGATTTTTGTGTGGCGAAACATTCGGGGAATTGTGGAAAGCTAAGTAAGTTTGGATATAATATGTGAACTTACTATATTTTGTATGCTTAATTTTATTTTTATTATTATTAGAGTTCCTCTGTACAGCAGAAACTGGCACGATGTCGTTTTTCGCGTTATCGAAGTAGGAGTAATATTATGGTTTCCCTGTGTGTTATGGAATTGTTTCAGGTTTGCTTTTTGTATACCGTTATGAAAATTATAATCATTTTGATCAATAAATCAATGTAATTATTCCCTCGTTACATTTCAGTCCAGAACAATTATGGATTTTAAATCCAAAACGTATTTTGAAAAGATTAGATCACTCTAAGTATTTGAAAGAAATCGAATTACAAGATAAAAGTGGAGAACAAGATACTTCTCCCTTCTCGGATGAAACATCAATTAGTAGCAAAGATTGTTGGATTTGTTACGATAGCGATAGGCAAGATGCCGGCCCATTGATACAACCTTGTCAATGTAGAGGTGATGTCAGTGCAGTACATCACAATTGTTTGCGACGATGGTTAGTCGAGGTAAGATAAATATTTTTATTGTTTTTATTAGCTATTTTCAATTATTTTCCTGTACTGTTGCAACTGTACTCTATATTCCAGAGTTCTATAAATGCTGATAGTCTTACTTGCAAAGTATGTGGTACACAATATAATGTGGAACATACAAATAGATTAGACTGGCAAAACAGCATTACTTCACGCCATTGTTTGCAAACAATTGTTATTGTTACAACAATGTGTGGATCGTCAGCTGCTGCTTGGACACTTATTCAATTAGTAGAGGGTCCAATTATCCGAATGTTCGCTGCTGGTACTGCATTATTAGTAATGTATGTTTGTATAAGGTAAGTTATTAATAATTATTAATATTCATACCTAAAGTACACGCTATTGTAATATATTAATATTACATTTATTTCAAAATTTCTTTCTAGGTTTTTAAGTTTAAATACAGTTGTGGCATATCAGCGTGCTAAAATTTCGTCTTTAAATATCATTGGCTCTGACAATAGTGGAACTACACATGTTTCTACTATTAGTCACACGGTTTGTGTAGACTTGCCAAAATCAGAAACAGCAGCAATATAAACCAGTATGTACGTTTTAAATCATTCAAAAATTGTTGAATTTTAACTTATGAGGGTAATAAGCGAAAAAATTAGAATACAAAATTCTTCAAAGGTAATTGATATAAATAATATGAAATTGTTTTCTATCATTCTTTATATGATTTTTAAAGTAATTAAAATTAATAGCTACTATTGGTGAAAAATATCTAGCATATTATTTTAAAAGGTGATCATTTGATTTCTTAATTTTCTCACGTTTTTGACTAGTCTGTTAACAAGTTACCGTAATTTAAACAAAAATTTTGAATTGTCTTTCTGTTTATAATACCAAATATTTGCATAATTTAAATCAATATTGGTAAAAAATTATGAAAGTAATTTTGTTGTAAGGAAATGTTTTTTTTTTTTTTTTCTTTTTTTTTTCCCCCCATTTATTAATATTAATTGTGTAATCATTTTTGAAATCGTTATTTCATAATTTTACAAATTTGCTGTTAAACAATTAATATTGATGTTATTTTTATGGAAGTTAAATATGAGTTTAAAAATGATTTGTATACGTTACTTAAGTCGAAAGATTTATGCAACATTTAAGATGCATTGGACTAAAAGTATCTAAAAATATCAATGATTGCGAAAGTAGAAAATGAAATGTGATTTGAAAGAATGAAATATTACCAACATAAAATATGAGTGTTATACGGTGGCTGCCCGATAAGTAGGCACCAGATAAGTGTAGGGACGCTCCTTGTTCACACTCGAGCGCGCATCTTATTCTGTCATCTAGGAAGATAAAAAATGTTTATGTATATGGTATTGCGTTCAACTTGTATATTCTTAATTGACTCACCTTATATGTGATTGCAGTGAGGAATAATCAGGTTGCGAGAAGAACGTGTATATTAGTTGCTTGATAAATGGGCGTTTTCTAAAAAAATCCTCATCTAATAAACTACAGCGCAATCATTTATCGAGTGACCACTGTATATCCTTTTTGGAATTGCCATGTTTTTGCGGATGTGAAAACGTTTACTGTTTATTATAATCCGGGTACTAAATGTACATATATAGGTTCCATGTTTATAATGGAATGTTCTAAAAAAATATGTACTAGGTAAAAAATTATCTCGAATTGTAAAATTATAGCACGAACTGATTGTAGTGCTATAACTATGTATGGTTACATAAAATTTGGTTTTATGAAATCAGAAATACTGTGAATAGTACATGTTTTATGAATAATTCATTAACATGTAATAGTTTTATATAGATACTAAGAATTATATTATTTCTGTAGTATATGAATTTTATATTTGAAAATACTCGTATCTCATGCGGCTTAGTTTTATAGAATGTATATGTATATAGCATTATAACTAAAAAGTGATATGTGACCGTTCAATGAAATATTGTAATACTAACAAAATATCTGTTTTGCTGCATTTTTTGTAGAAGTACAAAAATTTCTTAGGTTTAAAAATCAATTATGGATTTGTCATTTATATGGTTGTTCAATTAATAACTATTGGAGAACACATTTGTAGATTACATAATACAAACATTAGTGATTTGCGATTAAGAAGTACTAATAAACATGGATTGATAAATGTTTCACATAAAATAATAGAATATTTTTTCATTAGTAATTTTACAATTAATTTTGATTACTAATATAAAGTTATATGTATAATGTAATGTAAAAATATGATTTTTACAAAATAACTTACTTTTTATTATATTACTGTTGAAAAAAATATTACATGTAATATTGAAAATTTTTAATTATCAATTAAAAAGTTGTTTATATTATCTTGCAGAAGAAACTTAAAAATTTTTATTTAATATACAATTTAGTAAAACTAATTTAAATATATTCTTGTAGAAAAATAATATAAATGTATAACCATATGAGCCATATGAATGATTACATAGAAGACAAAATATCAATAAGCTGTGATTATGATAAACTGTAAAATATTTGAATAAATGATTACTAAATAAAAGGGCCAAAACAAAAGTACATTACTCATTGTTAATTTTATTATTACGTTTACAAAGACAATACTTAACAATGTTATGCATGTATCAAACTAAAATACTGATTTTTAAAAGATAAAGTAAAGTTTTGATCAGTGAATGTGGAAGAGCAGATTATAATGAGGTTTAATTTTAGGAATGATTCTGAGGTACCTTTTATTGTTATATTATGCCTTCAGATAATTATTTAGGTACGTATAAGAAATACATTTTACCAATTAAATTGAATATTTAATAAGTAATATAATTATAGATATACAGTTACAACAAAACTTAAAATATTGTTTATTACGAACTACTAATTTTATATTTCTTGACAATAGATCTGCTCTGACTGTGCAATAATATTATCTGTTGCCATGTGTAAGTGTAAATGTTGTGGCAGAAATGTACTTCTTGAGAGATTGAGGTTGAATATTGATGGATAAATTTTAAATGCAATTTTTTCTGGTTCAACCTACGCTGAAAAATAGTATTACAGTATAAAAGTTCCAGTTTTAAAATGATAAACAACAATTAGTTTCTTATTTTAAAACATTTTAATTAGAATTTGAAATAAAAAATAAAAATACATAATTTTATATCTATAATTTACTTCTGGAATCAGAACTAGTAAAAATATTACCTGCGATGCCGGCAATTGCTTCTGAAGCAAAATACTTAACATCAACGTCACTATCAGTATTGAGCTTATCAAGCACAGGTTTTACCTGAGTCTGTACCGCGCTAGGTTCAAGATAAGGTCCGATCTTTTGAAGAGTTTTAGCAACATTAAATCGTACATTTGCAACATTGTCAGTTGCCATTCCTAAGACAGTTGGAAGCATTACTTTTGTTGTTATTTCCGGACCACATACTTCAGCCAATACCTGTTAGAAAAATATAAAAATATGAATATTAAATATTAAAGCATATGAACTACTGTATAAGTCTATTCATTAAGTCTACTCACATTAATACAAAATAGACACGTCATTCTGTGAAGGTAATTTTGATCCCTTGACATTGCTAACACTTTAGGTATTACAGTGTTTTGGGCCCATTCAGGGCCGAATTTTTCTACCAGTTTTTTCAAGTTTAACGTTGCTGCTTCTCTAATAGCATAAACATGATCGACTAACCAAGTCATGCATAAAGAGTTCAGCTTCTCATCAAAGAATTCAACACCAAGTTGCCCAGCTAGTAATGGCATATATCTAGGATGTATACGCATGTATATTTATATATATATGTATGTATGTATATATACATATACATACACATGTGTATAATACAAATAAAATAATATTTCATTTAAATCATATTCATATTAATAGCTTTACCCGTAGTACATGCAATTTGATATAATACCCTATAGCTGATACTCACTCTATAATGGCATATCTTACTCGCCATTTTGAATCTTCGGCTAATTCTACAATAGCTGGCAGAAGCGACTGTGAAAGTTGTTGTATGCCAATAACTTCGTTAACACATTCTAAATTACTGATAATATTTAAACGAACTTCGGAATATTCATCTCTAAGTTGCGATAAGAATAACGGTAACAGATGTTCAATTGTGCTGTAAATTAAACCGATTTATTATTAACGCTGTATTACAATACATTTATACAATTATATAAATATACATATACTTACTTGTGTTTTCCAAGTATCGGGCTAAGACCCATTATAACACTCGCTAGAGCTGATTTTACATGTTGATTTGGATCTGATACAAGTTCCTTAACTATTGGTAATATATTTGTCATAATAATGGACTCTTGGTTAAATTTGTCGAGATTTTGACAGAAATCACGGACTTTATCGGCCGCTGCAGCTCGTACTTCAGCTTCTATATCTTTTAATAATACTTGAAATGCTGGTACAAGATCTGTTTTGGTGATTTCTGGACCTAAAGCTTTCTGAAGCTGTAAATAAAATTTGATCAATAATTGGTATTAAATATTGATACGTAAAAAATTGATTTGTTGTAACTTACGTCAGTGAATTTATCAGCCACCATGTAACGTACACGCCACGATTGATCGCTTACGCACTGTCGAAGTGTAGGCATAAGTAATTGTTCTACATCTTCTTGAGGTAACAGAGATGCAATACTAACACACGCTTCAACGGTTAAAAGACGAACTGAATCCTGGAAAATACAATATTATAAATATTAATATTGCAAAATATAAAGGAGTAATACTATTCTGTACATAATCTTACTTGTTCGTCTTGAGCCAGAATGACAAACATTGGAATTAAATCGGCTTTTACACATTCAATTTCCATAACTTTCGCAAATTCTCCTAAATTCGAGGCTGCAGCTCGACGCGCCATTGGTGTGTCATCTTGACACAAATTGCGGAAGTGATTTCGTAAGCAGGCTGTAGATAAATAAATAAATTTATATTTGCGCAATAGATAATAAATAATTCTTTATTACCTTTGACTGTTGGATTGACTCGTGGGTAACAAACACTGAATAGAGCACATGCCGAAGTTCTTGATGTGAACCAATCTCCTGTGGCTAAACGATGTATCAAGGGAACAAACTGTTCTTCCAAATCTGTCGGACTGTGTTGGGCAGCGATAGTTCTCAATGACTCCACTGCTTTGTCTCGAACTACAGTTTCTTCAACTGTTGCTAATGTTTCTAAAGGTTTCTGAAGTAAATAAATTTTTATTCATTTTTGCTTTTGGATCATTAGTTTTTAAATAAATAACCAAATTTTTATGCTTATAGTTTATGTTACAGAATGAAAGATAAGACATATGTATATACATCTAATCTGTAATTAAAAATTTTTTTGTTTCATATTTATAATTGTAAAAATTTTTGTCTTAATAATAATACTTATAATTAATTGCATCCTCAAGTTAAATGTATGACACATCTCTGATATGAGTCATTTTGCTAAACAGAATTTTGTTTCACCATAATACTAAGAAATAATCAATATGGTTTCAACATATAAAACGGTGATTTCGCTATAAAATATTAAAAAAAAAAAAAAAAACATTAGTAGTTGAATAGTTAAGTAAATAAAAATATATACCAGTAAACAGTGTACATGTTCTGGACCTCCTACAAGAGGAGTGAATTGTCCAAGCTGTTCTGCCAATGCTAGTAGAACTTCATCTTCATCGTACATAGACTCTGTTAGAAATGGTATCAATTCGCTACGTGTTCGTTCAATGCCCAAAGCAAGCGCAATTGTAGACAATTTTTTTATCGAATTCAGCCGTAACTGTAATAAAAATGATTCTGTTAACATACGAATCAACATTGTGTAATACATTTGATAATTAAAAAAATGCCTTCTTTCTTCCAACAACAAGGTATATTTTTTCAGATAGAGATTTTTCATGCTGAAAATTTGAGGTGGAAACGCTATTATGCAAATAGTTCATAATGTTAATTGTATTAATATCAAAAGTAGAACATCAAGAATATAATGAGTATGAAGGTATTAAAAGAATACTTTATTCAATTGTAAGCTAACGCTGTAGCCGCCTTGACACTGTGTTTTCTCCAGCGGCTACGAGCGATGCAACAATCCAATTACTTTGCGACCATAAAGTGGCAGGCTTCAACTTTTGCAAAATTACCTGTACATCTTCGTTTTTCAGTTCGTCGATCAAAACTGCGATCGGATAAATACTGTCGTCCGTGGTAGAGTCGCTCGCTGCCATTTTGCTGCCGATCACACTAGAGCTTGGAAACTCCCGTGTGTTTCAAGTAATGTTCAAATTACTGCGCCATCTGATGGTTTCTACTATCCAGCGAACTAGCGGCACATGTAAAATTGATTCGTTCATTCGTTCCATTACAATTTACACTGATACCGAACTATACCTAATAAATCAATAAAATTCATTATCATGTATCTACTCAACTTCTTTATTTCTATTGAATAAAAATTAATGGTTTCTTTATTTTACAAATTTTCTATAGTATTCTATAATATTCTGTTACATGTTCCTTTTTAAGGTGGTTTCGTCAAAGGAAATAATACAGTTATTTATTATTTTAATGGTCTCATTTATCGTGCGATAAATAAAAATAATCTAACAAGAAAGAAGTGTTAAAATATGTACATTTGAACAACAATGCTTATCTACGACCATGAAATTTGACGTTTAGCAGCAAAATCAGGTTTGAATAAAAAGGATTTCTATGTTGTGCGTACATTATCAGTAGTTCATTATCAAAGGGGAATAACATGTTTTCGAAAATGGTAATTTTAATAAGAAAACTTGAGGAAAATATTTTTTAAAATAAGTACATAAACGTAGGTTTTGTGCTTGAAAAGTTTTTGAAATCGGGGATGATGTCTGAATCTGAATTGGCTGCACACCACCAATTGTCATAGCTTCAAAGAGAATCATCCAACAGCGTGTTAAATTGTAATTAATATTTGATAAGGTTGCTTGATTGAACTGGACCAAGTTATAATGAAAAAAAAATATGTATGTAGAATGTAGAGGTACCGGAAGTGGAGCTGTTCCAAAGATTTCAAGGTCAATTTAATTTTTTTTTAAATAGGATATGCTCTTCTATACATATATCAATCGAAATATGTTGATCCTCTATAAAAAGGTATTAAGGCACTTAAGTCGAAAATTGATTAGTTTGAAAGATATCTCAGGAAGAGACGATTAGATTCTCTCTGTCCCTCCTTAAAATATCTTACAAACTAATCAAGTGTCAACACGACTCAAAACGCGCCGACTAATGAATAACAAAGTATAAAATTTCAATAAAATTTTTCTACTAAAGACAATAAAGGAAAGAGATAGAAAATGAAATGACGATACTGTAATGATTAAGAAAGAAGTGATGAAGAACAGGAAATCCCTGTTTTTGTTATTTCTTATAACATTCTTACAAGATAATGCTACAAGATAATTGTATACATATTTATTCTATCACTCACATCGATCGAGTATACTGGAAAATTTATTTGCAATATGCTACGCTATAGAAACACTGTAGTATTAATTTAAATAATTTGATTAAATGACTATTTAAGTTATAAATAAGATAGTGTATTATATAGCACTTTGTTATTATTAGAATTTCACGAACATTAAGCTCCAACATTAATATTAAAAAATTGATTTACATTATGACTGAAGGAAGGGTTTGTTTACTCTGGTTACATTGTAAAACAGAGCTGGTGTTAGGCAACAATATATCGTGTCATTACACAGTACACAGATAAAATTGCGTGATACGGTATATTATATAAAAGAAAAATAATGATATTTCAAATATTTCAAACCTATATTCACAGTCGATACACTAAAAGAACATTAAGAGAGATAAGAAAATGTAAGTGTAATTTAAATGCGAAAAAAATTGTATCGTTTGTCTTTTTTCATTAGGCGAATTTGGAACGGTATGAAAAAAGATAGAAAGTGTAAACACACGTGGAGGGATACGGATAAGTGGACAAAGACAGGAAAACAAGCGACCATAAAAAGTAAAATCAAAAATAAGTAAATTATGAATGTATACATATAGTTTCTTACGTCAGCTGATAAAGCGATATGTACATGGTATATATACATTGTATAATTCGGCGAACCTACAGCATTCGTTCACAACGTTGTCGAAAATTTCTTTCGACTGTCTCGAACAGGTACATATTTCAATTCTTGTTAAACTTTGCTAAATTTTAAACTTTGAATTTTCAAAAGAAATAAAAAAGTAACTTAGCGTTTCCATTGAAATTTTCTTCCTCTACATATAACAACGATCCTCCATCTGAATTCCACCTAGAACAGAATAATTAATCGGACAACGTTCTTCCTCGATCGGAAGATTTGGTAACAGCACGGGAAATAGATTAGCAATATCCCTTTAGGTCTAACTAAGTTGCTTATCATTGAACAAACGTAAAATGAAACAGTTCTTATATGTATGTATGTACATCGAACGAGATGAGCTTATCGTTCGATCTCAGATTATTTATAAGTATTTAAACAGAATTTCTGTTTTTCAACGACACATAGCGTGCAGAGACCTCCCGCTGTTTAGTTCGTCCTCCCATCGACATGTCTCGTTTGAGTTTCAATGAAATAAAGCAGTTCGAAGACACGACGAACGATGCAGACATAATCAAAAGTATCATCGATACGGAGTGCAAAGAGGAACCATTCTATATTCTCGATGTGGCCGATGTGATAGAAAAACATAAAGATTGGATCAGTAAAATGCCAAGGGTTACACCTCACTACGGTACGCATGGAGAGTAACTAGGATTTTTTCTTATTTCGATTATTATTTTCATCTATTCAATTATAGCCGTCAAGTGTAATCCGGATCCCACGGTGATCAAAATCTTGGCAGCTATGAATGCCAGTTTCGACTGCGCCTCCGAGGTGCGGCTACTTTTCTTTCAAATATCTTCTTATCAATATCATCATTATCATCATCATTTCTATTTCAAATTCGATTTTTTTACAGCAAGAAATAAGACAGGTGATGAAATACGGTGTGATAGCTGAACGGATTATCTTCGCGAATCCAGCTAAATGCCCGTCTCACATCAAGTTTGCCAAGAAGATGAACGTCGACAAGATGACAGTCGACAGCGAGATAGAACTGCTCAAGATCAATGACCTTTTTCCGGAGGCGAAGTGAGTGAAACAACGAATAAGCAGACTTTTCTCTCTTCCTCGGTGAATTATCTCTAAAGTGATGATAACGTTCGTTTAACAGAATAGTGATTCGTATTCGTTGCGATGCCAAGGTTACGCAAATACCGCTTGGTTCGAAATTTGGCTGTGATCCGGGCGAAGAGGCTGTACGGTTGATACAATTCACTAAAAGTCTCGGGTTAACTTTGCACGGCTTCAGTTTTCATGCTGGCAGTCCGTGCGGTGAATTGAAAGCTTATAGTAGAGGTATTGCAATGTGCAAAAGACTGGTAGCCATAGCCAGAACAATCGGTTGCAACGATGTACAACTGATCGACATTGGGGGTGGTTTTCACGGGGAAACAGGATCGTGTATAGATAAAGTGAGACTTGTTATTCAACTCAACTCTCTGTTGTTTCATCGATTATTATTATTATTATTAATTATTATTCTGTTTTTAATCAGCTCTCTAGTGTCATCAATGATGCCATTTTAGACATCGATCCCAGTATTACAATCGTCAGTGAACCAGGACAATATTACGTGGCATCCGCGTTTACTCTCGCCTCCTATTTGCATACGAAGAAAATTGTCCCCCGTGGAGAGAAAATGATCAGAATGTATTATATGAATTGTGGAGTGTATAATTCATTTGTAGAGGAGCTGTTGAATTTCAAATCAAGAATACCAATTCCATTGTACAAGGTATAGACATTGATCTTTTCATCAATGGTCGATCAAGGTCGATGGAAGAAATTCTTATTTGCGTTTCAGCCAACGAGCGACGAGAAATTTCTTTCCTTCGTTTGGGGTCCAACTTGTGATTCTTTGGATTGTATAGTGAAGGATGTGCTTTTGCCAGAATTTCACATTGGTGATTGGTTGATTTGGAGAGATATGGGAGCCTACAGTATATCCCTCTGCTGTCCATTTAATGGTTTTTCCGCACCCCAAGTCTATCCAATTATAAGAGATAGTCAATGGTATGTGAAACATTGAAAATTAACTTGACAAACATTGAGTATTTGTTTATTTCAGGAAGTCGTTCACCAGCTACATCAATGCAGGACAGAAATCACAGAAGCCTATCAGCTGGAAGAATGGAGTAGAGAATGCATTTATTAAAACAAGCTGATAATGATATCAGTCTAAGGTTATTACAGTATCGTACTTATTTCCTGCAATGCTAGATTATGCAGCTAAGGTTATTTATAGAATTATTTCAAGTCCGAAACGTCCAAGTTTATTACTCTCTGCATTTCCTCGTTTACGTTTATCTCCTTCTAAAGCGGAAATCCCAGAGGAAACTTGGACGTTCTGCATTAAAACTTTGGTACGACAAGTTTTATAAATAGAACGTACTATTCATTGAGTCAGTTGAATGCATTTAGCAAAGAGACCTATGGACTTGTAAATATCGCTACAAAAAACAACAGAAATTACGAATGCGAATGGGTATTACGTTCTCAAAGAATGAATAATTAATAGTATTTTATATACTTTTATTACGTACAGGTAGAATTTCACGTAAGAAAATAAACTGTTCATTTGTTAAATTATCGTGTTGCGTTACCTCGTCTTGAATAAATAAATATCCTGTTATTGTTCTGAGTCACTCGATGTAACATTCAGCCCATTCCATCTGTAGAAAGAATTATACGTAATTAAATTCATTGAAATACAAGTTTATATCAATTTATGTACTTACTCTTTTGCAGTGTAGCAAGAACCTGGTTTCAGACCACTTTCTACTTGACCATCGTAAATTTCTTGTCCGCTTATGACAGTTTCAACTGGGTGGACCAATTTCAATTGATCTCGTACCTTTTAACGATCAAATGCATATTTTAATATTTTCACAAAATGAAAAATACTATTAGGAAATATTTTAAATTATAATTATAGTAAGTATGTAGGTATCACTTACTGCTTCTACATCGGTAAATACACGGATCAGATTTCTACCAGCAAGTTTTTCGAGCTCCTCCCTCGTCCATTTTGGTTCCACGTTACTTTCGTAGAGACGATCGAATAAATCTGGATATTTTGATACGTCTTCCAAACCTTCGGGCATTCTGAAATATTTCTTATTATTGTTTAATTTTCATGATATTAATCATGATAATTATTTTTTATGAATGTAAAACGCTCACTGTTCAACACCATCGTAGTCGGCTCCGATACCAACATGATCAGCTCCGATAAGATTACGAATGTAATTGATGTGATCTAAAAATCAATGGAAAATCAATTATTTATCTATAATATGTATAACTAAGTAGTTATTTATCTATAATATGTAGAAAAAACACCGTACCAACAACATCCTGAATTGTTGCATTCCTCGATGAGTTACAATTCACGAATTCAGAGTAGAAATTAACCATCACAACGCCGTTGTTTTTTTTCTATAAAATGCAAATCAAATAATTGTATCTTACATTCTACCAATTTAACCATTGGTAAATTGACGAAAAACAACTCACAACCGTGTGGAGAACATCGTCAGGAACATTTCGGTGATGTCTGCAAACGCTGTAGGCAGATGAATGGGAGAACATAATGGGTGCCTTCGTTATTGCGAGTACTTCCCTCATAACATTATGTGATACGTGTGATAAATCCACTAACATTCCTAATCGGTTCATTTCGCGAATAACTTCCTGCAATAAAATCCTTCATTCAAACGTCCAAAGTGTTTATTTATAAAGGCAATCCAGCCGAACGCTATATGTATATTTTTTTTAACTGTTCAACACGTCTAATTAGCATAATGATAGAGGAAAAAAGTTTGAAACATACTCTACCAAATGCTGTGAGATTGCGAACAGGGTTATCGAGCGCTGGCGATGCATCAGCCCTGAAAGGAAGAAAAAAGAATAACCTCGATTACTAATTGCTACTCAACGTATCTACATATTATTATGTATTTCTTTACGTAAATGTAGTATCTTACAATTAGCCAGTTTCGGTTAGCCAGCCTACAATTAATAGTTTCAAAAGGAATATTATGTACTTCCTATCAGGTGCATGCGAAAGCAGTAGTTATTTTCTTATCACAATAACAAGTACTAACGTACTAATTTGTATGTACACGAACTGATAAAATGATTCATAATAATGGATAATTTCTGCACAAATTGGAAGATATAAAAGAAAAAGAGTGGTTAAAAAATAATAATTGTAGGTAATAGCAATATCATCTAAAATGAATGTAATTTTGTTTTCTAAAGCGAATGCGAGCACAAAAGTAACTTCCATCTTATCCGATAAGATGAAGATGTAGTTATCTTTGAAAACAATGTATTTACCAAAATGTTCAGTAATTTTCAGTAATTTGCGATTAATTAAAAAATGATTTAACACACCATGGTGTGTTGCACGAGTGAGTCAGCGTAAGATAACGCACGCCAAGCTCATAGTAAAGTCGAAGAATGGCCAAATTGGAGTCAATGGAATGACCTCCTTCAACACCGATCATCGAGCCAATTTTTCCGTTTCTCCATGCTTCTTGGATACCTTTAGCTTCGGTGACAAACTGCAAATCGTTCGGGTATTTCGCAACTAGCCTCTTGATCACATCGATCTGTCTCAAAGTTAATTCTACAGCATCTTTATATTGCGACGAGCAGTCGACGTATGCGGCCCAAAACTAGAAATTTCAGATTAATCAATTAATCGTTTGTTAATCGGTTGTCCGGGGAACTTTGCAACGAAATAAAGAAGATAACATGCATCTTGATGTGCTAAGCTGTAAGTGATAAGACGATTTGCTAAATCAGTCGATTAGATAGAGCGGAATTTCCAATGATTGATGATCTACCTTTTGTGTTTACAGACTTTTTACTCACCTGTGCGCCCAGTTTTCCTTGCCTCATACGGGGAAGATCCGTGTAGCAAGAGTTGCACGCATTTCTACCCCATACTTTATCCTCTGTTAGATTCTTCTCGAGGTATAATTTTTCTAATTTGTTGTTCAAGTGTGAGTACAAATTGTAAGGCAAATCGTTATGGCTAAAACAAGGAAAAATTGTTAAATTTTATATTTTTAATGTTGTCGAAATAAGAAGGGGGGTATACTACACGGAGGAATCTAAGCATGAGTAAATTTTTGGAATTTTTTTCATAGATAATAATCACAATGTAGTATATGATTTTTTTAATAATAATTAAAGTGAAAGTTTAAAGAAAAATATTACTCGGTAATTGAATGTAATGTTTGTAAAAAAAATTCAGCAACCGAGATATTGGTATAAGATAAACATAAAAGAAGTGTTGTAAACTGTCGGTGCATTGGATTCGTTTACATTGGTTAATCATTCACTTAACGAATGTTATGCTTGCGATAACAAAGGTGAACCCACTGCCTCTCATGTATTAAATTTTTTAATTACTGTAATCAATCAATATCTTTTTTTTTAGATTAATCGTAAATTGAAATCACGTATTGCTTGAAATAATTCATAATTGTTTTAAGTAGTATAAGCAACGAAGTGAACGATGTCTGACACCTAGTTCATCTATATCTATATCTATACAAATTTTGATGCAGATTTTCCAGGATGTTGGAAATAGTTACTTCCTAGAAATTTGAAAAATATTCTGAACCATAACTGTCGCAAATAAAATTGATATTACAAGATAAAAATTATAAAATATAACATAATCAATCGTGTGTCGTTTGTATAGCATATGCAACACACGGGCAACATGGAAAACATAAGTTTGATAAGTATCTATGATTTAGTTATCATAAAATAAGAAAATGACGATCATTGTTTAACAACCACCTTCACGCGATTATAACAATAATGAAAGAAAATTGCATTTTCCCGGAAAATAATAATTGTCACAGTATCGAAAATGTTGAATAGAAAATTGCAAAACTAGCGTTATCAAAAAAATCGAAACTGTATAATACTTTGTAAGTTATCGTTTATCGTTTATCGTTTATCGTTTATGGTGCAAGGTCTTCAACAGAAACGATTACATTTCCGATTACTCCCCTTGAAAGATATTTAATATCATCATCAGTCTTTGCAAATATGTCAACAGCATTGCATAACATTTTTAAATAATTTACAGATACACACGATGTTGCTTTGCACTTTCGACCAAGTTCACTTTCACTTCTTCTGCTATTATGCAGATGTTTATACAGATTCTACCTCACTGATAGGAGTTAAGAGTTTTGCTTTGTCATATACATATACTGTTTTTGTTTTCGTTTTCGTTTTCGTTTTCTTGCGATATCGGTTTGCATCACTTACCCATCGATGAGCGGTGCCGTGTCGAGAACGTCACTTCCTTTGAAGCTGTTCACGTTAAGTCCTACCGACAGGCCAATAACGAGAAGCAATATTGATAGGCATACCGCAATGTTCACGTACATCATCTTTCCAGTACAATACTTAGTTAAGCTGCCTGTTGTAAAAGATTTATCAATTATTAGGTACTCTCAATAAAGTTAACGCCTCCTAAGCACTGACGAGGATTCATACCGCCTACCGTTTTTATACGACAGATTCAGGTGAGGGACGGGTTATACATATGTATATGTATAACGTTAATCAAGGGTGGAAATTTTTGAGATACAATAAGTAATTAAACGGTTGTATAATAGATAAACGATAATTTCATTTGATTCATTTCTTTGATACGCTTCACGATGAATTTTTTACATTTCATGTAATTAATTTTGTAAAATTAATTGAATTCTTTAGATAGACGTTGAAAAGATAGATATCAGCTGCTGCAAATTATTATTTAATTATTCTATGCAATATTTCAGGGAAATTTAAATCAATTTTCTGCCTTTGATTAACCAATTCATTTTATAAATCGTTAATTAATTTTATAAATACATATGACGTACTGTATTGTGTAATAATAGTTACAACTTCATTATCGAAGAATTCAATATTAAGGCTGATACTACATAAAAGGCTACTGATAAGGAAGATAATCGAGAAGATTACTAATTGTTTTGAATTACTGCCGTCTTAATATCTCCCGTGATTCTTTATACTCTAAAAAGATGAGATGTCATTCTTTTTAATTTGTAAATAATAACGATAACACGATAACCTTATAAAGAGGCGGTGACTTTCTCATACCATCTGTAATTGACGCCTCTCTGATGGTGGTGTACCGTTACACACAGAACTGAGGGGCATTTAAATAGGACGTGAATACATATATGTACATCCATAATAAAAATACAAATTTCTAAGTAATAATGCAATGTATACCATGATTAATAATTAATAAAAATACTTTAACAGAACATTAAATTTGAAAAGTGTACTACACTATTTACTATTTTCTTAATACTTTCATTGATAAATAATGATAATTTTCTTTGCATTAACGATAAGACATTCAAAGATTCGTTTCAAAATATATATGCGCTTACAAAAGAAGCTACTATAAAATTAAATGATAGCAATTAAGGACCTTGGTTAACGGTACAAATTTTTTTTCTAATAACGCAATACATTTTAGAAATTTTAATGAATTACATACAGATTATTTCTTTCACTAAACGAGGAAAACTCGTTATGCCTTCGATGAACTCTCATCAACAACTGACTTGGCTACACTTTCGAATTCTGTAATCTGATCCTCATGGGCGTATGGGGACAAAGCAGAGATCATACAAAGTTTCAATAAAAAAAATAAAAAATAAAAAAAAAAAAGAAAGAAAGAAAGAAAGAAAGAAAGAAAAAAATGGGGAATTGCAAATTTTCAGACTGAATCAAAAGAAAATGAGAAACTTTATCAAGGTTCAAATATTGTTCCAAGATTAACGTCGTTGCTCGGCCTTGCGAGAGTTCAATTAACACGGTCACTACCAACACCCAATTCATATGTCATAATCATTAGTCATTATAAACTACACAATATAAAATAAAGTGAAGTAATGTCAAAATTTAAAAATGCCTCGATTCGATGCTGGTAGTGAATGTGTTCAGGCAAAATATGCTAAAAGATATATTAATTAATTTTAATAACAAGGAAATATTAAATTTAGTTATCGCATAGCTTTGTTATTGATTCAACGTAAATAAAGCCTTGAAATACGTTGTGAAAGGAAAAGTAAACAGAATTTAAAATTTACCGCGATTTTAATAATTAATGTGAATAAATAGAACGAGGTGTTAAACGAAACGAATGCGATTACATAGTAATTGATTTACCCATTAGAAATGTTGAGCAGAACGTTCCTTCGATGACACTATTCACACTTCTTCTCTGAAGATAACTCGCTCAGTTATGTGCATCTTCTATACGCACCAAATGCTCTATATATGTATAGGTGTACACAATAGATTACTATGATTACTGTCACTATATATTCTGTATTTTGTTTGGAAAAATTAATCCGCAGTTATTGCGACTGTTTGTTTCAACTTATTGTTAGATCTACTCGCTTATTTTTCTATTTACTCAACGTCTAACAAGGATTATTATACTCGATTCATTCGTAATATTCCAGCATATCGTCTATACGAGCGACTTAATTTTATGGGCAAATAAAGGTATTAAAGGCAGTAGTAGATATTGAGGTAGATATTAATCTGTAACTGAACGAATAATGAGATAGTTATTACGCAGGGGAAAATATAAAAAAATATAACATAACAATTTTTTTTGTACGTAGATCAATTAGTAAGAACAGAGTATGTATTTCCTTTCTCATCTACGTACTTATTTGAATAAGATTAAAAAATAAAGAAGGGATTATTATAATTTTTGTTGGAGGAAATGAATCATCTTTGAATTTTCATACGTATCATTGAATTGTATACATTATGAAATACACCTTATTAATTCATTGTTTTAATGGTTTTAAAAATATTTGCTCGAACTTCGCGGACGTTTAACATTTGGCAGATCACGTGATTTAATATATGAACTCATACACTTGTTGCATGTTGATCGCGCGATTTCAAATATTTTCATAAAAGTATCAGGAAAACAAAGGTATTTAAAACGAAATAAAGCTGTTGAAATACAAAAACAGAAAGATATTATTTATATCTTTGGTTTTCTACGTGTGATTTTAATAATTAATGCTTTTTTTCAGATTGTAACCAAAGTTTAACCTAAACACTGGTAGGAATTGTAGATAATTACATAATATATACAATGGTATATGTTTAAAAGGTATATCATAAAAATTATGATTACAATAATATATGCAATTCGTGTTATGTCACTAAGTTATCATTGTAGTGTTTAATATAATATATGTTAAACAACTGATATAAATATTTATCTGGTTATTTTGTATGAAGAAAAAGGAGGTAAAAGAATTAACAGTAACCATGGCAGATACGGTATATAAGTATATGAAAGTACAAAACAGACCTTATAGTATTAATGAACTAGTATCTAATCTGCATAACGAATATGGAAAATCAGCTGTACAAAAAGCCATAGACAAATTGGTAAATGAGGGAAAGGTATTTGAAAAAGTAAGATTACTTATTACCGATATTAAATGTAGTAACTTTGCAACATAACTAAATTGTTTTTACTTTAGGTATATGGGAAGCAAAAGGTTTATTGTCCAGTCCAAGATTCAAGCCACGATGTGGAAGAACTGATGAGGATAGATAAAGAATTACAAGTACATGCTAATGAAGTGGAAACTAAATATCAGGAACTGGATAAAGAAATTAAAGTACAAGAAGCTTTACTGGTATCAATGAAGTCTAGTATTACAATTGCAGAAGCAAAGAAACAGAAAGCTGTGCTTGAAGAAAATATAAAGATGTTAACCAATAAGTTGGATGAACTGATGGAAGCAAGCGGTACCGAAGATTTAACTGAAAGTAAAAGGAAAGGAGAAAAAGCGTTAGATGAATATTCACGTGAATATGCGAAACGAAAACGTTTATGTACGGAAATTATAGATTGTATCTTGGAAAATTATCCTGGTACTAAAGCTGAGTTATACGAGGAAATAGGGATTGAACCAAAAATTGTTTAATAACATCAGTATTGCTATTTATAAGTGTAATATAATGTATATATAAAATATGCAACTGTTTAAATTAATGACTAATTGCTACTTAATATTTTTTTTAAATATTTTTCTATGAATTTGCTACTGTGTTTAATTATAGTTAGTATTGTAACTTATGCACAACGTATTGAAATTATTGTTACAACTAAATATTTATAAAAGCCAATGTGTCTTAATATCTTCATTTATTTATATTTGTAATATAATGTAAAATGTTTCTAAAAAAATAAATTTTAATTGAAATTGAACGTGTGATTTAATTTTTTAGTAACAGAGGTTCGATTTCAACTTGAAAATTAATATTTTTGCGTCTCCGTTTTTCGAGATTAAATATTGACGAGATAAATTTTAAAATTTTTGCAATTATTATTACAACACTGGTTTTAATGAACAGTGAAAGAATTAATCAACAGACGATTAAATAAACAGTTGATCGCGTGACTGTAGATAGCCCCGTTTACACCAATTAAAAAAATGAAAACAAAATTTGTGTTATTTTCTTTTTTATGACGTTTAATACTTTTTAGTAGAAGATAACAAAACGCATCGATTGACGTCAATAGAGGTCCATTTCGGTGTTCTCAAGGTTTGACCGCATCACCTTCTCACCTTTATTCCCTCAATGCTATTTCCGCCAGCAGAATTAAACGAACACAACAGTTTCTCTATTCGTCAAGTACTTTGATAAATCATTACCAGAGAAGCGTCATTAATCTTCAACATCTCGACGAAATCGTCTCGATCGTTCAAATTGAAACAGCTCATCGCAATCATTGCAAACGTGTCCAATTAATAAATGTACCTGTCTCCGTAACATGGTCATCCTCAATGATATCTCGTAGGACGTAGCTGATTGATCGGCTCATCGTTCGACGAGAAAAAGTGAAAGGAATGATCATTCTGCTGGTACGTATAATCACCATTTTATTTGTCTTCTTGCGTTCTACAATTTTGCATGATTTCTTAGGGAAGTTTGTTCTTGCGTTGCACGCGTTGCACCATACAATGGGATTCCTAACACGATACAAGTCTCTCCATCGTGATCACGTGCATCGAACGAACATCCGTCCGATGATCGGACAATAGGGGGTGAAAGGGTTTTCATGGCGCTAGACGCTTTTAATTACTTGCCAACTGTACAAAGCTGTTGTGGTACTAGCGTGAAAAAAAAAGAAATAAGAGAAAGAAAAAGAAAGAAGAAAAGGAGGAGGAGGAAGAAAGTTATATCTGGGTAACACACAGTGATGCGTAACTACTTAATTGAACGGGATTGCACTTGTTTAAGTTCTGTATTTAGAACTTCGATAAAAGGTCCTCCGGAAATCGTGAAACCTCCTTACAGGTGGACGGATCGAGGAAAAGGGAGAGAAAAAGTACACGATTTCCCAATTTTCGAGGTTTCTGCTCGATGAGCTGAACGCGTGGTGAGTGCAGGTTGCAGGACGAACGCGTTCCGATGTCAGGATCTTAGCTCGGGGGTTGGCCAGGCCAAGTATCAAAACGATTCCAATGTCGGTTGCAGCGCCGATATCAAGCGGTGCAAATCGTCTTCAGTGACGCGCAACAGCGACCCTTTATGGATTGCAAGTGGCACAGCCATGTTCTCATCCTGTCAATCAGCTCCGCGCAATCTGACCCCACGTCCGTACACTCATCGCCCTCTGGTCCTGAAATGAAATCCAGGAAAATGAATCCGTTGCCACGGGAAAGAAAATTTCAAGGTTTATACGAAGATCAAATAATACTCCAAATTCAGATATTACCCTTGTTGAGGAGATGAATCAAGAATAATTTTGTACAATTTTTAAGGTTTTCAACAGAATTGTGAAATTAAAAAAAGGGTATAATGAACAAGAAATACATTCGCCCAGAGATAGCCAAGGATTAATCCAACGAAGAAGGAAGAAACGAAAACCTAATACCAATAGTTATTACAAAATATGTATATATATATATATATGTATATAAAAATACAGTGATCTAGTGTGATGAGTATATATCATGAAATTATTGGAGAAGGATAACGAACGTTGATGAGATATACAAAGAAATCACTGTCTTACAAGTGATTCATATGAAACGATGAAAAATGCGACGTGTCAGCTTGTCACAATTTCAATCACAATATTCTGAAATAAGAGGAGAAGAAGAAGAAGCAGCAGCAGCAGAAGAAGAAGAAGAAGAAGAAGAAGAAGAAGAAGAACCACATGTCGATGGTTAAATGCTTCATGGGTACAAATGTTTAATAGAAGAAAAGAAAAGAAAAGATCGTCAAATAGAAGACGATTTTAAAGAAATGAAAAATAAAAGTTTCTGTAATTCGAGAAGAAAGCAGTATCTTTGATTTGACACAGAATTCTCTTACCACGAGCATCACTTTGAGGCCCATTTTCATCTCCTTTGGTTGTTGACGGAAACGACATCGTGCTCACTGTATTCTTACGTTTGAACGGGCTAATTTTTCGATAATTTAGGTCGTTGGTGACCTTTGAGAAAGGGCTAACTGTATAATACAAATTATTCGTGTATCTTCTAGTTGTTGCGCTACCATTGCCGTTTCTACTATAACTATCGTTACTATTGTTAAGTTTAGTCTTGTATTTATTGGCGTACAAATAACTGGCAGTCGTATACGTGTATTTGCTCGTTGCAGAGGTTGCAAATGACGTGACGCGTTTAGGATTGCTCGTCGACGAGAAGAAACTCGACGACGACGACGGTGAAGAATATTTAGATTTTGATTGTGGCGTGCTCTGTGTCGTCGATTCCCACGGATACCTGTGTGACATAGTATTATGCTGTTATCGAAGAAATAAGCAGAACGGACGACCAATTTTATTTTTCTGAATGCCTGAAGAATTTGTCAAAAATTGTATTTTAGGTATTTCATTAATATTTCAGGAAGTTGCAACAGTTAGCTAGATAGGATATTTATATGTAATATTATCATATGAATAAACTGAAATATTACCTGTAATCTGTGTTGTTGTATTGGGCGAACATGGGCCGATTATGGGCTGTGGGGTTGTAAGTGCCGTCCCGGCGCACATACGTTGGGATATTTTGTGTATAATCTGGTATAATGTTTTCGTGTTCTGCTACGCATTTTCCATTCAGACAATACTGAAAAGTAAATTAGAATTAGCAGAAAAATTGATTTCCAATTATAATAATTTTGAAAAATCTTCTTCATTTGTTGTGAAACTTGCAATATTCAAAGTGAAATTTATTTTTAATTTTCCATTGTTTACCTGACCATCTCCACAGGGAGAGCCTTCAGCTGCCGGACGATATGCCACGCAGTATCCTGAACCAGCATCGAAGCAAAATAATTGAGCGCAAACTCTCTCGTCTTTCTGTAATTACAAAAATAAATATTTTTCACTGTTATTATACATACAATGCATCAGGATTAGAATTATGATATAAAACTTACGAAACAAGCGCTCGTTCCACGATCTTTCCTACACTGTGCATCCAACGAGAGGAGTTTCCCAGGTAAAACTCGAGGAAGTGCTTCGTCTTCGTGGGGTGCGTTGTATAAACACGTTGCTGTATCACCGCTAGAATAGAAAAATTCAATTTTAATATTTCACCTAGTACGATTTGATTGCTAAATAAATTGATTTCAAGGTGAAAATGTTCCAAGCAAGAATAGAAACAATTCGAAACCCATGTGTCAGAATCTCACTTTAGGAAGTGATGAAACGACGACACACTACAGTGAGACCATTTAAATCCTTTTTCGGTGTGTCTAAGGTCGCTCATGATGTAGCCATCCTCCCAGTAACATTTCTCGGCACCGGGTCCTCCGAGGTAACTGGGCGGCGGTGAACCATCGTGAACTGCACCCAGCCTATAAATATTACAATGTCCAGATAATTTTAATAATCCGTTGAAATATCTTTTCTCTATGGATCATCGTTATTTTTACTCTTCTCGCGTTATAAATTGTCGATGATACTACTGACAATGAGAGGATTTAACAGTAAATTAAAAACCACTCTTTTCTGTTACAAGGATCTTTTTTTTTTTTTCCTTTCAAATAATTTGCCTATCTCGAAAGTAAAATAATTACGTTCACTTTGACACGCTAATTTACATCGTTGTTTGTGAATATTCAATGGAATTGACAAAGCTGTTTAACGAAGAGATAACGACTTACAAATGGCCAACTTCGTGGGCTGCGACTATAATTCCGCTAAATCCTCCTGTATCCTCGATGATGGCGACAGAATTCACTTTTTCCAGACGCTTGTTTACAACACAAGCTCCACCCACGTATGCGAATCCTGTATAATAATGTGCAATCAGTGTGAAATGTTTTTAGAATTGTATATTGTGTGTGTTTGTGTGAAGATTAAACGAAATGTTAATACCGCTACCGAGCTGTTTATTTGATTTATTTATAAGAAGCTGCAATTTTAGATAATTTCATTAATATTAGAATACCTGGCCATGTATCTTCCATTCTGAGAAATTTTATACTAAATTTTATATGTATAATTATTTTCATGAAATCCTAATGACTCATGAAACGATCCTGTCTTTAATTTTCAAAACAGAAGACACGTGTTCTGTTAAATTACCAACGATGCCTATTCATGCCATTATTAGACATGAAATTCTAACGAGTATCTAATGATAGCATTAATCTTTCCAACAGAATACCTATTCGTTTCATTAAACCAAAGCTGGACGAAAATTCTTTAACACGTTGATTATGCCTCTTACGACACACGAAAGCAGTATTAATAAGAAGATTAAGAATTAATAATTATTCAACTCACAAAGGAATCATCGTTAATCCATACCCCCTGATTTGGATGAAACTCTTGTGGATTAATAAAATGATTGAAAATTAGATTTCACACGCTTAGTGCTTGATCAAATTGCTAATGTGTCGGCATTCAACGTGTTAATAGGCGGCATGCATCTGACGTTAATTAATTTCACAAACGGTTAAATAAATAATCTACCATGATATCAATGTAAAAATCTTTCTCTATAATGATTTTAATCTGTTCATTGGTGTTTCGTAGTCGCCGTCGATTCAAAGACTTACCACGGTCTTCGTCAGTAACGCAGCCAAAGAAACAAGAAAAGATGCATCATAATGCAGATTGATTCAGAACAGAGCAAAGTGATAATGGAAATGATAAAAAATGGAATATGTACTTCCGAACAGTTCCGTGATACACGCGTGTATAAAGAATTAATCGAGAAAAAAAAAAAGGTGAACACACTAGGATACCGTATAGCCATTGTGCAAAGGAACGAGCAGAGAAAATTTCATTATCTTTCCCCTATGCGTCATTTTCGACAAAATGATGAAACAGAGAGGTAGATTAAGAGAGAAAGAGAGATAGGGAAAGAAAGGCAAAACTCGTGTCCCAAACTTAAGGAAAGTGAGATCCAGAAAGAAGAAAACACGCGTGACAAGCCGGATAGAAATGGAAGCTTCTTCGTTCAAGTTTTCGTTCAGCCCATTTCTCGTGACGGTGAATCTCAAACAAAGAGCGAAGAATCCGTTTTAAGCTGGTAGAGAAGAATAAACAGAGATTGAAGCAACGGAAACGCGAGATCGAATAAAGTATGAATTATACATTATTTCTATACTGTTTCTCGGTTTTTAGGTGTAAGCTGTGTTCTCTTTACTAGGTAATTCAATTTAGGAAATAATTTGAAAATAGCTAGCAATGTACCGTGGTTAATTACATTAATTTGAATTTTAGCTCTGTTTAGAGGGTACTTGATCATTTTTTATACCATTGAAACATCCCTCGGATGGTTAAATCAATGATTTGCTCGAAACATTCGAATTTCGATCGAATTGTTAATTAAATTAATTTTCAGTTTGCAGGGTACTTGGTTATTTATTATTTTTTAAATAGCTCAGTAAATTTAGGTACTCGAGTATTTCCAGTCGCTTGCAACATTCCTCGAAAATTCCGACTAATTAACTACATATTAATTAAAGAAAAATTTTTCTTCGACCACCTCCAATTGTATAAAATATTGAAATTTTAAATAAAAATCGGCGAAAGAACACGACTTACATTCTAAAATCTCCAAATCTCCATAAAGAAAATCAGAATTCAGGTGATAAAAGTCCATAGGATCTGATTTGCATAAAAGATACTTAAAAATTTCCCCGCGGAGTTGCAGCGAAAGAAGTTTAAGAATGGAGAAAAATAAAAACAAACGTTCGCAGAGCAAGTGCACACATATAAGATTTGAAAAACAATTTTCTTATTCGTCAATCTCGTGTTCTCTTTCGTTTAAACCCGAGAAACGTACCTGCTGTTCCTCTATTGCACACGTCATTCGCGTATTGCCTCCTGCACATATCTAATCTGCAATGCAACAACAAAATTTCCTCTTTATCATGTGGATTCATCATTATCTGTCTTGATTTTTAGCCACGTCACGGGACAATCCTTGGAAATGTGCCGTTCGTATGTGTCTAATTAATTCTTCCTATTAATACAGGATACGGACAGAAATGGGAGACACTTATACAAGATCAATCATTCACATTAAAATAATAATAAAAAAAGTTCATATTAGTATTTTTTAGTATTTGAAATAGTAAAAAAAAAAAAAAAAGTCAATAGAGAGGCATCCACTTTGCAATTGTACAATAAAAAAAATATTTTCATTAATATTAAACATTACACATTAAATTTTAATTGTCGCTTATCTTAGAGGTCCGTTGTTTGCGTTATGAATTAACATATGTTATAGAAATTGGGTCAATTTCAGCATCAAGTATGAACTTTTATTTATCAGTTTAACGCATAAAATCGATCCCATAAAAAATAAAACGTGGAATAAATTTCATAACAATTATCGTGCATTGACGTATTGTAAAAAAATCCATCGTACTTGAGATGTCTGGAAAAATATCCTGACTATTATTGTTATCGATTCTCAAAGGTGGTCTGATAACAAGTAAACACCGTGTCGAATGTCTTCTCGTTGTGTAGCTTCGAGAAACGTGACATGTATAAGGTGCTGGTGTGGAATTACGATAAAGCAAACACACTACGAGTAGCACGCGTGTAAATAATTGCCAATTAGCAAGTGTTGCGTCTTAGGTACGAGTAATTATAGCTGATTGCCGATTCGCATCGCAGTAATGCAATTTTTTCAAATCGTCTTCGCTAACTTCTGTCGAAGAAAAACAAAAAAATTACGTATGTTAAGATATTGAATGGGATGCCTGTATAACTCGAAGGAAGTAATCTTTCATTTTCCATGGAGGAAAGCTATGTACAGTTGGTTTGAAGAATTCAATGTTAGTACTTTGGCATTTTTTGGTCCTTCTTTGTATAATACTTTTGATTCTTTATAAAATTCCTCTCATTTAATTATTCACACGACATTTGAAAATTGTCTATTCAATGACAAAATAAAAAAATAGTCTATGTGTTATTGATCGGTAAATTAGTGTACCGTTACCTGTTTAAGATAGGCTCAATTTAACACCGTTTCTCTGTGAAGATGGATATGCGTGGTATTTAAGAAGGAAAGCCACTCCGGAGGCCTCAGAATGATTGACAATTATAAAAATGATTAAATAAGAGTATATTATTTGAGGGGAAAAAAAAAACAATTGATATTAAGATCTTCAGGGTAGTTTCCTTCTTAATAAGCCCCTTTTTTTATTATACTAAACTGGTGTATAGCTGGTACTTAATATTTTTTATTTTTTGTCATCCTATATCCTACTTTCTACCATGTTAGTTAATTAATAAATTTTCATTAGGTAGGTCTTCTACGAGAAAAGGAACTGTTCACCCCCGTGAACGCAAACCATACCCCTCGATACACGCCGTTCACTGCACCGTCAAAACCGACACTACGTTCAAGCTACGTGTAAATACTGTACAAAAGGCAAAGAAAAAGAGAGAATGAAAAAAAAACAAAGACAAGTTGATATAAAATAAAAAGCGTGATCGCTATGTAATAAACCATACCGGCTGTTCCCTTAGTGCAGCGGCCGCCTTTCCTACGACGGCACATATCATACCTGTTTCGTGAAATAAAAATCAAACAGTATGAAATTATCAGACTGCTGTGGACGATATTAACGTAATATGTATATTGGGGGCCATTGAACTCGGACATTTTCTGTGCGATCGAAATCCGTGCTTTTTTTTTTAACCCCCTATACCGAAAATCAATGGCAAAAGGCACATCTACAAATTTTTCATATTACATATATTTGCAATCTATTAATTAGAACATGAAAAGTAATTTTTTCGTGGAACTTTGCTCTATAATTAACTTGTTACGGTACACAACAATCAAAAAGGTAATGATGTGCACCAGTGCATAGAGGGTTAATGTTGGCACAATTTCAATCTAATAGTTGCTGTCTCATCGTTTCATTAATACTTAGCTCAAAACTGGTTTGCTTGAATGAATTTCAGTGAAATCGAAAGGAATTAATAAAAGTTTTGCACGTGACAAACTTATTTCTACACATAACGAAACGAACACTCTTACTTTGTGACGGCGACCGCAATGTCGTAGACCGGAAGTCTTCTCTCCCGGAAGAGGTATTTGCCCATATCTGTCAGCGCAGCCGCTGAATCGATCGCGTCTCTTCCAACGCGATTTCTTTCCAAGTACGGTGTTGCATCTCTTCCCTGAAAGTTGGCATAAAAAGGCAAAGGTTACTTTGCAAAATCCTACTTCGAAGTCTTCAGAGAACGATTAGAGAAAGTTGGTGTCGTTAAGTGTACTTCACCCTTGAGATAATTATTCCCGCGATGCTGATGCGAATTTTTGGACCCTTCAACAACTTGTACCTTAAATCTACCCCGTTCCAGAAGGACACGAAATACCTTTTTATCTGTACATTGTCACCTCCGTGCAATCTAGAAAGAACGAAACACAGTAATCTGTTAATTTTTGCACTTGCTTTTTTATTAGAATAAATTCTAGGTGGAGTGAGAAAAAATGTCGATAACGTGTCGGTTACTTGATAAAAATATATAATTTATCAATATTAACTTTTGATAAATCATATTTACACCGTGACATTTATGAACATATTTTGACCTTTCGTATTAGGTAAAAGTGAAAGCGACATTTACGATAGTTATTCAATCTGTTCTAGAAATTTTTTGTATTATTATTATTATTATTATTATTATTATTATTATTGTTACGTGCGTTGAATGAAATTTGTAAACACTATAAGCATCTAGTGTTTTTTGCTGATAGCAAGTATTCACTAAACGATTGTAATTATGAGATTAAACAAGACATGTCGGAGATGCGTGAAATGTTTGTAATTACGTATTTCTCATTGATTAATGTGTGTAATAAATAGTATTTGAAATAGAGATGCAAAGTGTTATGCAACATTTCTCACGTGGAACATCAATCACGAAGGAAAATTACTTTATATTCAAAAAAAATATGTGTAAATTTTTTATTACTTTTTCCCCTAATTTCAAATACAAGTCATCGATTTTCAAGCGCGCAAATGGCACAGAGTATATTAAATAAATTTTTATCTTTTTATCAAATGAAATGATTAATTATACTGTTATAATTAACATTCTAAATCACCTGTCTCACCTCTATCCATCATACCTGGTACGATTTGCTTGAAACAATAATAATTATTATTTAATTAAGCAGAAAAAGATATTCCTTGATGTAGCATTAAGACCAAATAAAGGATCCTCAGAATTTCGAATTATGTGAACCAGGAAACAGTCTTAAATTATTTATGAACTGTTTTTTAAATGAAATTTAATACTATCAAAAATTTAATTTGCATTATTTATTAATCGTGACATAGGACAGTATAACGTGTCGACTACCGCAGCGCAGTAGGAAAGTCCACGTATAGTCAGACACGTTATAGATACAGTATTAATTCAGTATATAATTATTTCATATTTTAATTAAAAATTCTATGTCATTAAGTGATTAATGTAACTTTAAAATCATTTATCTCACCTGTATCCATCATAGTCCACGATACAAAGGATTTCCGGATAGATGACGTATGGTGCTTCCCTCTTTCTTCTATCACCGACCGAGCGCTTCGATCTGTATTTCTTGGCCAAATGGTCGGGTTCCATCAGCGCTGAAATTGATGATTAATTACAAGCAATCGATTTTACCGTCCAATGAATCCGAATCCAGCTGAATAAACTTACTAAAATCGCTGTATCGATCGCCGTTTGAACGCGTCATTTTTTTGAAAACTATATGATGACTCGTCCTCTTCAAGTCCTCTTTTCTTCTCGTTACATTTGGCAGTAATTCGGCATCGTTAAAACTTGTATTCTTACTTACTAATTCATTTAATACACGGTCTGGCAGTGGCCGAATCACCAGTTCTGAACCAATGTTGCCATCCTGCACGAAATCAGGTTTTTCTCATTAATTTGTGAATTATTTGAAGAAAACAGGAAGAGGGCCTTTTATTTAATATTAAGTTATTTGTTCATCAAACTGGGGATAATTTTATTATAAACGTTCATTTTCAAATTCCAAAATTTTGATTAGATAAATGGGCCCACCTTTAATACATTCTCATTATAAATACAACTCTCTATCCACTTATTAGTAGATGTAATAAAATTTGAAAACAAAAAGTGACTCCTATAATTAAACTGATGAAGACAAATTGTACCTATTGATTGGTTTAAGTTGCTCGTTTCTACCAGTAATTGCTAATAAAAAGTTCCTTAACGTCCCTTCGGTGGAACGTACCTTAAGGAGCATAATTACCAAGACGTGAGTAGCTTTATACTCAATGTACAGGTTCTACGATGGAAAACTCGTGTAATTTAAGTCGGTTAAATCGTTCGATCAGCGATATTACAGATTCGAGCACGATCGGATCGGACTGTTCGATTTGCAGTTCGAGAGAGGTGCATTGGTCAGATCGATGGAGGGAGAGTGAAAGCGAAAGGTCAGGGCATACGGGGTCGCATAGAACAACGCTTTTACAGCATTATGTAACCAACCAGTAACCAGAAGTGTTGTCAATGGAATTTAACATCGGAAAACAAATTCAATGATCTATCATTTAAAAAATCATATTCTTAATTGAAAACTTTACCTCGATCAAAAATTCAAACGTTTCTTTATAATGATCAAATAGGTACCCTATTCTTTTTTTATGCTATTGTTCATCCATCGTTACTTCCTTGTTCTTTGATCATTAGTTCACCAATCTAATCGTTTATCTAACAACTATAAACATAGCTTTTTAGATATTATTAAACTTACAATCATTCTCAATTATCTACAACGGTGAACGTAATTATCTTTGTTCGGTCTAAAATAAAATCATAAATCAGGTACCCTCGGGAAAAATAGGGATGCCCTTCCTCACAGGCATCCCCGAAGCTTCAAGTTTGAAGAACAAAATTGCCTAAACGTTTGATCGAATTGCTGCAAACGACGTATAACAGTCGAATGGACAAACTTTTATCATTCTCCTCGATCAGTAACTCAACGTACAAATGCAAATGTCCTTTCACCGGTAATTTATACCTCTGTCAACGGATTTTAAGCAACTCCTCGGCTCAACAGCTGGATATTATCCTCTTGCAATGGCTCGGATTTACGTTCTTTATGACTTCATGAGAGATCGAACCTATCCAAGTGAAATTGAGTCTCGGTTGGTTGAATGTGCAATCATCGAGAACAGCAGCCTTCTTCTCGTAATCGAGAAAACAGTTAAGGAAGGTGGAACCGATATGGGAAGTTTTATTGCATTTTTTCCCACCCTCCGCCTGCAATATCTTTCGAATGCACTTTGCGCGAGTGCCGGCTTCGAATGGAAATGTCAAAACTATCCAAGAGACGTCATTTCAACAACTTTCCTTCGTACATGGACATTCTTTTCTTAAATTCTATTCGAACTGCAAGAAAGTTCCGCATTGATATTGATGTTACGTACGTGTGAACATTGCGTTATTCAATGGAGACTATTTAGTATGATAGTTTCAAAAAAATCCAATTTTCTTTTTAAAAATAAGAACGAATCATTCGTTTCTCTGAAATGAAACTTTTTCAGCTAAAGAAAAGTGTCCACTGTTATTCAACCGTAAAATTATCCCCAGCACGCAATCTTTTAGTACCTACTAGATGCTCCTCGTGTTTCGTCAATGCGATCGTTAGTTCTGCGTAACAGAAATCCTTTTAGGAGCGATAGTTTCACCGATTTACGTAAGATCAATCAATGGACACAAAGGATGAATTTCGTTACTCCCGTTCGCATTGGATGACTGAATACAAAGTGTGGAAAAAAATTATTAAAAATTCTAGGAAGTGACCTATCACCTTGATTCGGTGACAAATCGGTTCTTTATTTTATAAACAAGATTTCTTACTTAATATCAGGTACTAGGGACACCATTTACTTCAATTATGCAAACGAGTTAATTCTACCGTTCCTTGATTTTCTGTTACAAGCAGCATTGAAATCAAGGTCCAGATAATTAGTTGCCTAATGCAAATCGCGATGTTGCGATAATTATAAGTAAGTCGCGAGCGTTGACGAAAGACGACGAGTCGCAATCACACTGGGAATGTCGAAATGAACATTAAGAAAGAATGGCTTCTTACAACGAGCACTTTCCCATTTGCGTCCTGGTGCAGCAAAATAGACGCCATGTTCGTCGTGTCTTGATAGATGTCACCGATACCTATGTCAGCCTGAAACGGGAAGAACAATTACAAGGTGATAGCACCGTGCTAGACCCCATGTATACCAGATTTTATACGGTTATATCCATTTAAAGGTATAACAACTTCCATAATTATGGCTAAAGATCATACACACTCGTTCTTTGCTGTGATACTTCATGTCGAGCAAAAGATTCCGTAGAATGGCGAAAGTACAAGAATGAAATTTGTATGATTCTTAAAATTCTTAAAATTCTTAAAGTGAAACGGTAATAAAATTTCATTGAATATTTTTTAACATAATAAATGAAGCTTAATAAACAAAGCCCTCTGCAAAGTTCCCTTAATTTCTCGCTGCAGTTTGAGCTGGTGAAAAGGTAGACTGATTAAAAACTTACATCCGTCACCTTCTCGTAGCGGAGGCCATCAGGTTGCGACGCATTCTTCGTTACGGTCCACATGGGCAAATGGTCCGCTGCGAACAACCCTTCCGTGGGTTTCAGCGACAGACTGATGTCCTTCCCAAAGGCCTTCAAATGTATCTCCGGTTTTTCTTGTATACTCCTTTTGTGCACCGAATGTAACACAGGAACAACTTCGTACGCTGGTACTGGAATTTGAAACGTGGTCTACCTTCAGTGATTCATTAGCGTCTCTCGACGACTTTCCTTGCTAATGAACCAGCTAAGCATTTTGTAATTTTAGCATTGCTTAGAAGCAACCGTCAGATTTATGTAAAATCCCTTTAGAAGCGAATATTTTTAATTAAATCTGTTGTTTAAATTTTGCTTTTAAATGGTTAACATTTAGAAAATAAACAAATTTAATGAAAAATCATGCAGTTGTTAACAAGTTGTCTCGACGGTATCCTGTGAAAGCAAACAGTAGATTGCAGAATTTACGTTAATATTGAACGAAACATGCAGCAATGAGGAAATTTAATTTAGCGAGCTTCATCGTTGCAAAAGTATCACGCAAGGCCATCCTATGCGCAGTGAATGAGAATTGAGTTTAAATTAAATGCAGGACTGTTAATTTTTCACTGTGATTACCAGATTCGTGTCCCGTGTGAAACACTGATAACATCTCTTCCCTTGTCATGTGTTCGTGGATCTGAAACAAACAAGAAATTAGGTACATATTAATGTCTCGATATGGTAATATATTAATTACAATAATAACAGATTAGCGGTAGAAGTAAACGAAAGCAATTTTATTGTTTCCCAGCTACCAAGTGCACGGTTAATTGGTAATGATTACAAGACACAACTATCAACAGTTGCCGAAGCACGTACGATAGAATTCGAACAGGGTCGGCTGGCGATCGATCCCTATGTATTTGAAGTTTTTCCAATCGCGATCCAAGGTCTGCAAACTACCATTTAAGAGCACGTACCGTGCCACAGAAATCGCATTGCAATTAACTATCGCGCTGCCTTAGAACTCCTAAGGTCGATCACTTTCACTCATTACGTTAGGAAATTCGATCGCGTGTACCGGTGTCCTAATTGTACTCTTTGTCTGATTGAATGCACAAACTGAATGCGCCACGATTTTAGTTCCGTATACCTGGAGAATGTAAATTAAACTACAGTCTACGAAACAAAAATAGTTAATAATTTAACGCCTCGCAGTTCAATTCAATTTCGATCAGAAAACGGAGCATTGCAATTCGCGAGGCAGTTAAAGAACCGGATTTACTTAATGAAACAAAAAATTGTCCCCCGTTCCTAATTCTATGCGTGCCATGAACCTAACATAACTCGGCACAGAGTTTTCCTTTTGAATGGCAAGCACAGCTGCGAAATTCGTTATCAGATAAATCGAACACGTTTCACTCCTGATCCTTCTTATTATTGCAAAAGTGCTTTTGAAAGGCGAGACCGAGCTAATCTAACGATGATCGGAAGTTGAGGCTGGAGGGTGAACAAAATGATAGAAATACTAAGGATATTTGTTTCTGATCAAGCTCTAAAGAAATAGATAACCAAAGTAACTTGAAGATGTTTCCCAAGAAGAATGATGCAAAATCCTACTATAATGATGGGATTAGTATCTCGTATATTAACACTTTGACGGACGTACATTTCATGACATTTATGGCTCTTGTAATTCTATCTTCCCTTTCATATGTAAACGAGATTTATTAATAGATTTGTATTTGTGAATTCCCGTAAAAAAATTCCTAGTAAAAAAATTAGCGGTTCTCGAATCATGATTACCACCTGATATTAATCAGCAATAAATGCTAATTTTAATATGTATTTTACACAGAGTATCATATACTTGTGATCATTCGAAATTATTGTTATCATTTTATGAAGTTTATAAAATCGTCTTTTATTACGTTCGATTTCGTCAATTTCAAAGAATTCGAACTGTTAATGTATTGCAAATTATGATTTACGAGGCAATTTATCTTTTCTCCTGTTGTTAGGCTGGTAATAAATGAACGACGGTTCAAGTAGCTGATTTCTATGTAAATATATTTAGCAATTTGTTGGCCTTTTTAAGTGAACCGTGTCTAAATAGCTCAGGGAGAATGATTTTTTACGGAGAAAGGTTTATGGAAATGTGTTGCACCAAGCGTCGATTACCTCTACTTCTGATTACTCCCAGCCAAGTGTTAATGGAACGATAAAGCTTAGTGTAACGGTTCGATAAAATCAATCTCTGTCAAAAGTAAGGATTATATCTTGTGCAACCTAATCGCAATCTCTGCTTTGTAACTTTAAATATTCTCACGCTAAACTTTTCTATTCTCTTTTACGTTGTTTTCAAGATTAACTAGAAAAATACTGACTTTTTCCTTCTTCCTCGGTCATTTTTCAATGGCTGATACTCCTAAAAATGTACCGTAATTTCATATTCAGTCATCGAACACACCTGCTCTTATGAATATTCAAATATACAAAAAATTCAATTTTTTTTTTACCGATATATCAAACGCTATATCGTTGTAAAAGTTTAGATCGTATCTTTCCTGTTGTCCACTGTTGTAATAATTTCATCTTTTTGCCGGTAAAGTAAGTAACGTTAACAGCGGAAGTCCAAATGTTTACGGCAGCGTGAATTTACCTCGTAATAAGCGGTCAATTAACGATTAATTGGTCGTCTGATTCCGCGTGTGTCCAGTCATTTCGAGTCAACGCCACGTACAACGATCACGTTACTTGGCTGCTACTTTATTTTTAAGGAAGTTTATTTTTGTCCTTGCTGCTTCTGATCGCGCATCTTGATGGGATCTTACCTTGTGGCATCGTACGAGAGGTAGAATGGCCATGCACAGAAGGACAAGGGCACGAATCATTTTGCGTGAAAATATTCCTGATGGGCTGCGTCACATCGCTGAAACATCAAAGAAAGAAGAAAAATATTAATATGAATTATCAAATTCAACACTGTGATTTAGTGTGCACTCGTGATCCAATCAAGCTTTCCTAGAGAAAATCCTCCCTTAGGTGACCCCCAAGAATTGATGATTCCATGATAAGAAAACCATAAATTAAGTAATTACGAATTATCCGTGGATACGAAAAAGGTAAAGTTTAACAAGTTTAATCGATGTTTGTTGCAGGTCTTCAAAAAATAAAAATCATTAACATGTAAAGTGGTAGGAAATTGATCGCGAATTAATGAATACATAAACTGATAAAACAAAAGTTGCTTTTACAAAAAATTATTAACAAGATTTCCTGATAATGAGACTATAAATAAATGAATGAATTATTTACGAAACATATGGATATTATTGTTAATTGCAAACTACTTTGTTAAACTGTTAGAAATTGACGTGGTGAAAACACTTGTTGAAAAAAAAAAAGGAGAGCAACTTGAAGCTCAATTAAGGAAAATGTACTGGTAACTAGCATCCAAATTTAAACTTTCCCTTAAAAGTAAATTAATTACACAGGGCGTGTTACGTAATTGGGCAGGGCTATATCTCGAGTTTTACACATAAAACGATAAAACTTTTCAACAGACTTAGCAAGTTTAATTAAATTTAAGAAATACTCGATCTGAACTATTTCCTAAATTGAATTTCATTTGAAAATTTTAAATATTTCTATCCTTTATAATCAAGTTCCTACCTAAGAAATATCCTAATTAACAAAAAGGTAGAGTACAGTAGTGAATATGGTTTAACGAAACATTGTTTGTTAACGAGGTGGTTGACCGAGCTGGAACAATTAGCTCGTTGGCCAGAAACTGATATCTCTAATGTTGGAAATGTAATTACACGAAGTCATGAGCTGAAGAAATCCAACGGGTTACATAATTTGCACCGTGGTTGGTGTGCAACACACCACAAAAAAAAAGAAGAAAAAAAGAAAAGAAAACAAAGAAGAACATTCCATGAAACTAACCTGCACCATGAATTCGTGCATGCTTGGGACTAGGGTTGACGGAGAGGAAACGACGAAGAGGACAACTGGCCAGGACAGGCGACGATCCCGGAAGGAAAGTTGAATCGCATCGAATTAACGCCCACGTCTCGCGTCAAAACGAAAACTTTCGAGCGTTGCATCGTTAAAACGGCTAAACCGCTCGAAAACGAAAGGGGACTTGCAATTGTCAATGTCACATCGACAGGAAAAATGACGATCTTTTTGGAGGGCGCAACAAGTAACCGCATGGAATATTGTCCCTCAATCCTCTTTTATTTTAACTCAAATATATTAATTGGAATTCCTTTCAAACAAGTAATTCTCCAAGAGAAAGAAACCTATTTGCTATAGTAATTAAACGTTGATTATATTTTACAAGAAAAGAACAGTGCACTTATGTTAAGATATCGTAAAATATCGAAACTATACATGTTTTGGTTGTAGATTAAAATTCCACCATGAATTAATGGACTCTCGTGGTGAAGAAAAATTCCTTCACTTGCTTGCCGGGTCATTACAATAACCGGAAATTCCATTTACATTGAATCGTACAACGCTATGTGGTTGAAAACCTTTCTTGACATTCCAAAAGTACAATTCTGCTTATCAATTACCGAATGTCTATCCGTACGATAAACCTTTTAATATTATTAATTAATTTTATCAAGTTAGCATAACGAGACGAAATCCTAAAAAATATTTTATCCTTTCAAATTATATCAATTAATATAATAATGATGAAAAGACATCGAAATTGACTGATACAGTAAAACGAGGTACATATACATTCTAATGTTAAGGGAACGATAATGATGAATGATGGTCTGTTTACTGGTATTCAACTTTCTATTTGCTCTCGGTAGTCTTGCTCTTGCGACTGTTGCATAACATCCAAGGAGAAACGATTGTTACTGTCCCGTTCATTTCACTGACTTAAATTGCAATCTGTCGGCGGACTTTTCTTTTCAATATGAACTCGCGTTTCGTGTAACTGGTAAATGTCAATTAATATACTGTAAAAATATGAATGGAAAGGTTTCGGTTTTGAATCTATCGTTTGCTGACTCATTACTTAACTTTAAGCAGAGAGAAAGTAATGTTATTTTCAGTGTCAGGAAATCGGAGAGCAAAATTTCATTAAAATTCTCAAAAGATTTCCAAAACTCGGCGATATCATTTTCACAGGTTACAACCTGAAAAACAGTATAGAACGTGGGCTCGCCAAAAATGAAAGATTCGATCGTTTTAATCGACAAACGAGTTTCTTTCGTCAATGACATCGATTCTCATCACAAACGACCCACTTTCTGCGATTTTCGCCCTCGATCACTTTTACCGTTCCAGATTCACGAACCAGTTCACTACACCCCATCGGGATCTCCCTGTTTTCGTATGGAAGTGAAAATTAAATCATGGGGAGAAATCCATGGGAAGTGACAAAAGTAAAGCGACCATTGTTCTAATAGGAAGCAAGGTTTCCATACAGAGTAATAAGTTCGACCTTCAGAAAACAAAGCTGTCTTTCACTCGTATGTACTCGTATAATAGTACCGTGTGACTGAAATTTACAATACCTTGCAAAAGTCAATTCATCTTTGTAGATTAGGAATCTGTACGACATTTCATCAATTTCTGGATATTTTCATCTATGAATTATTTCTTTCCCAAAAAATTTAGATTGCAGTTTAAAAAATTCAGAAATGAAATTAAATAATTTTTTCTTTTTTTAATTTTCTAAATTAAAAAAATAATATATTTTCAATATTTTCCAATTAGTGGACCGGCCTTTTAATTTTTTATTTTTATATCGAGGGGCCAACAACATATCATTATAATAATAATAAATTATACCAAATCATAATTTTCGAATTTCTATTCTCATCACGTACAAAGTACAGGTGATGCAAAATTTCAATCACGTAACAAAATTGTCTCGTTGCAAAGATCGAACATCAGAATGTCACGTGTAAGAATTCGGTGACAATTCGCGTCTCAAAGCATCGTGATCATTAAGCCACGCCTAGATCGATAAATATCGTGGTCTTTCAACGTATGCATATCAGACAAACTCCAAGAAAGGAAATAAAAAATGAAACGAAGAAGCTGTTCTTTTGCAAACGCTGTGAATTCGAAATACGTGAGACCGATTCTCATAGGACTCGAAACACATCCACGATCTAATTAACATAAATGCTGTTCGATGAATTTCAATTCTTCTACTTTCATGGTCAATCGAATAACGAATTATAAAAATGGAACGTCTTTATTGCTGGCAACAGGAGGTTCCTAAACAATCATTTGAAACCGCAGAAGAATCTGACGCAATTTAAAAAAAGAGAAAAAAAAATTTCATTCGACGAATATATAAAATTTAAATACCTATACAATTTTGTGGCAAGGGGGTGTAGATTCACCCCCTGAAGCCATGACAATTAATTCTTTTACACCCTGTACATTGGCATAATTTGGACCAGGTCCCTCAGAAATTTATAAATTTTTAAATTTTCGAAATCTCAAGTTTTGAAATTCTAGAATTTTGAATTCTTAACATTCTGTCAATCAACTGATTTACTTTCATAAGCTTCTTTTTAGAAACTTCTTCTTTTTAACAGAAAGAAAAACACGTTTCTTTCATTTACCGTCATTATACATCGTAACGCTAATTACATATTGTAAATGCCGGCAACTAGTTACCATGTCTTCGAAGATGAACCGAAGTAAAGGGCAACGAGTTCCATCCTCTCTTTTTAATCACCAAGAGAGAAAGAGACGGATCGAAGCAAGTCGATTGCGAAAAGTAATCTCTCGTCTCGTGTATCAAACTCTATCCGAGTAGTTTAGCAATGAATTAAAGATCATTACGCCATGTATAAAGCGTCGGTTTACTTTCTTTTCGTCTTAAATAAGATTCAATAGCAGGAAGCGATGGAAAGTGGTTGCGTCGAAACGTTAAGGCGATTAGCTATTTAGAAGTTTTATCGCGAATTACGCTAGCTTGCCTGAATAAAATAATCATTGTACGAAATTTCCAAACTCATTGTTCTATTATAAATAGCACAGCTATGAAAATGAAATTTCTTTCTGTTAGAAGTATGGATCGCAAACTTGTTGTCCGCCAGGAAGGAGCAAAAAGAGTGAATCAAGTAAAACCGATTGCTCGTGTACAGCTCGTCTGATCACTTTCCTCGCAGTCTGATTGCTCGTGTCTAGAAGGAAGTAACGAGAAACCGTTCCTTCCGGTTAGAAGTTCGATCGAGACGAATCGACCGACAAGAGAGATCGTGACTGCGGCTACGATTTTCTCTTATCGTTAATACCACTGTAGTACCTTGTAATTAAATCGCTTTTTCAATCAATTTTTTTTGTTTTATCAATGAATCATTTACATATTTTCTGTTTATTCAGCTGGACAAATGTTGTCGTTTAAGAGAAATGTTTGAGAAACGATTATTTAAAATTTATGATGTTTGCGTTTTAAAACGTTCATGCTTTTTATTATTTTAATTACTTAAAAGTAAATTTTGCACGGTTCATGTATGCAAGTTAGTTGGAACAAGGTGATATGGTTCATACGGTGTTAACGTACTCGACTTTCTCTCACTTGTCAGCCCAGACGCGGTCACGACAATCGTTTAGAATCCCATGGTCATCCTCGAGGACACTGGCATAGGTGATATTCTCTTTGTGGTATCTATCGATACGCATGAGTGTTTCGCTTTCAATACGTTCGAGGACAGTATCGGGATCAATTAATTTCTACTGTGTATTTGCTGCTAAGTGCTTTTGCTCGTTAAGTAAAAAAAAAGAAGAGCGAACAATGTATAAGGAACAACAACTTTGCGTGGGCGTGGAAAATGTTCTGGATGACCTCTGCTTCTCAGAATTTTTTTTTTTTTCTTTTTTTTCGAAAATGGTTACACCTTGTTGCACTCGGTTAGCGATGTTGGAAAAGGATTAAGA